AGGATTGGGGAAACTTTGACTAACAAATCGTTACATGCACCAGTCGCGGTTTAATCGCCGTTCAGAATTTCCTCTTTCATGTTACCACTGTTCCAAAAGGGAGATGATGATGTAATCCGAGATTTTGCCGGACGTATGCAAAGGTGGCATGTCTTTCTGTCCGACGCCTTTTAAAATGGCAGCTGTTTTCTTTTCTGTTTGACAGGCGTTATGGACTGATCTGAACGAAGGAAGTGATGGACAAACGAGAAGGATGGCGGACAAAGGACGGCGTGGACAAACTCAGAAACGCCTGTGGGGACGGCGCTGCTGGCTACAAACGGGCGTCGATAATGAGCACATCAGACAGCTGGGAAGCACAGTGATCAACAAACCGACAACTTGCAGTCGAGACAGGAAATGAACAGTTCTATTTGGTGTGCAATAAGAGAGGAGAGGAGAGAGGAACACATATGAAACTCAGCAGACCTGCAGTCACATGGCCGACACGGTCAACCCCACTAACCCATTTGTAATGAATGACTAATGAAATAATCTATTTGCCCGAAGCAGCGGCCATTCATTGTGTAATGAATGGCCGATCGACAGTTGCATTTGGAGGCGAATATAGGAAATCTACATTGTAATTATCTATACTTTAGGCTACGCACATGAAAAAGAAAGTCCCATTGAAATCATGAAAAATGTTAGATTATGATGCATTTTCCTCCCTAGACTAGCAATTATAAAGTATGAGACAACAAACAAGCTGCGCCTTTGTGAAGTCCTGCAGGACATTTTGTTCTTCGGGTAATTTCTCAATGACAGCTTGCACTGACAGGCCTGCGCTCGTTTTGTTTTACATCTGGCATCTACATCTTTGAAGAGTTTTGACTGGAAACAATGTGTGCCTGTCTTTCGAAGCCACTACCAACGAGCTAAATCCATCTCATAACACAGCACGGATATCCCATAATCAAAGTGAAAATACATGTCAAGGACACTGGTTGTTCTCGCCTGCTGTCTGGGACATTGGAGGGGACGAGACGCAGCGACGAAGCAGGTGTGATATAGATTGTTTGTGGAGATGTTGTTGCAGATTTTATTAAAGGCAAACTGTCATGAAATTGAGCAGGTTCAAGACCAAGACAAACTAGCCAGATCAAAGGCTCTATAATCCTAGGATTCAATAATCCTTATTGAGCCCCAATCGACAAGTCATCTGTGCTTAAAGGATTTTTATTATTATTTATTTTTATGTTTACCAGCCTTTGACATTAACATTTTTGCTCCCCGGCCACTGTGGCTAGTGGTTTACCAAAGTTACTAGCCACTCAGCAATTTCATTAGCAGTGTTGGGAGTAACGCGTTACAAAGCAACGCATTACTGTAATTCCACTACTTTTAGCGGTAACGAGCATGTAACAAAGTATTTTTTTAAATAAATTAACGCAGTTACAATTACTGGAATTCAAATGATTTCGTTACTCGCATTACTCTCTTTTGTGACGCGAAGCAGAGGGCCGGCAAATAGTTAGTAAATAGATTGCCTTTCAGCACAAAAATAGTTGTGGCCATGTGTGCATGTAAACAGCATCGCGTCGCTCATGACGAAAGAGCGCAGCCATGCTGCAGGCGCCGCTCCACGCAAACAACCACGGCTCCACTTTACACGGACTGCAGTGCAGCCGATAAACCGGGCAGAGCTGAGTAGATTGATTGCTCGGTATGTTGAAGATGAGATGCATCCCGTCAACTGTCGAGTCAGTTGCCTTCGGGCAAATGCCTGAAACAGTTATTTTGTTTTAAGTTAAGTATTAAAAAGGACTTTTGTACTATTGCTTGATTTGAAGGCATGTTGCCCTGTTGATTACAATAAATAGGTCTAAAAAATATGTTTGTTGTGATTGACTGTTCAGTACTATTTATATTCATTACATTTAAAAAGCAGACTTAAAAGTTACTTTCCAGAGTAAGTAATTACTTTTGATACACAGTAACTGGTAAGTAATTCAATTACCTTTAAAAGAAGTAACTAACTAAATACTCATTTTCTGTAACTTGCCCAACACTATTCATTAGTCACAATTTATGTTGTTTTGTTTAATTTATTTAAAGTTTGCTACAATTTACTAGATTTAAGATCCTATCAAATGTAAATGACCATTGTAAAACACCCTAATAAAGACTACATCAAATGTTCATGTAACAGGAGAGGAACGGACCCAGATGCAATACGACAGACAGTAGTAATAGTTAAATAAGAGTATTTTATTATCCTCGGTGCAAACCAACAGTTTACAGAGTCGCTGGGAAAAGACATGGACGGAAGACTGGGTGAATTACCGGGGCAGGGGCGAGACGGGGTCGGCAACGGGAATCAGTCCAAAGGAAAGTGCTGGAAGGTCTGGAATAAATGCAGAGAACAGCTGGCAGTGAGTGAGTGAGTGACTGGGGTTGAACTGAAGGGGGTGAGTAGTGTAGACAGGTGAGTGTGATTGGGCTCACCAGGTGACTGTGAGTAGCAGGTGTACAGAATGAACTGATTAGGTGGAGTGAGAGGTGGAAATGGCAGAGAAGCACTATGACACTTTATGCACAGTCACCTGTACATAAACTATACAGATGTGTGTAAAGCTCCTTTGGTATGAAATCATATGCAACTGATTAAGACAAAGACAAAAAGAGAAGCTTATTGCATATAACTGGTGCAGGGGTATTTTGTTGTCAGTTAAGTCACACTGCTTTTGACATCGCCACCGGAAATCTCTTTGTTCTTTTATTGTTTTCACTGTGAAATTGCTTGTCCCAACTACAAAAGACACCCCTTTAACCTGTCACTGCCGTGCGTCCTACAATCAGTACATTACATTATTTTCTTGGCTGAATTGTAAACCAGCAATTCTCGACTGGACCTCCACTTTTTATTGAAAAAGGTGGAGGTCCTTTTTCTTTTTTTCTTTAACTATCCTCATGTCGTTCCCAAGTATTCCCCTCTTGGATCTGTACAGCTTAATTAGCTGCAATGAGCATGAGAAGATGACAGGAAGGTCTGCATCAGGTCTCTGAAGAACTCTGCATAGATCTAAGAAAAGTGACTGGTTTCATGTAAATGTACAATTGATTAAAACCTTCTTTTTGGATCTTTCAAAGGAATGGACAACATTTGGCAAAATGCATTTTCAACACATCAATGAATGAAAGATATAGGTTAAGCAGTCTCACTAGTAACAAAAAGAACCGCGTGTTGCTTAGTGTGTCATTCCCTACCAAGGCATAGCGTGCTTATTGTATATTATAACAAGTATTACTAAATGAACATCATGCTGTTACAAAGACACGATTGAGATCATAAAGTCATGTTACCAAACTTTACTGAGGTATTAAATAAACTAAGATGCAGGATCATTTTCTCACGGCCATGAGACACAAAAGCTTTTCTGAAATTTGTTTGATTCAAGTAATGCAAATAGGTAAGAATGTTTTGGCCTGAGGTGTCTCGTGTTAAGTAGAGAGGTTTTTAATGAAGGTGCATGTGTTTGGGAAGTTGTGACGTTGAGGCCAAAAAATGTTTTTTTTTCAATTTCAAAATTCAATGTAAAAAGGTTTGCGTAATTAATGCACAAATAGTCATTTTCCTCATTGTTCTTTTCGTACAGAAGTAACAGCAGCCAGTCCTTCCCTTGTTTTATTGTCTGACAATGCTATAATTAAACAGACACATTTTCCAATTTTACTGCTGTAATTACTGAAAAAGCATGAAAATGCCCACTAAACCCTGCTGGGACTGTGGGTATCCACAAGTAATTCAAGTTGCTTTTTCATTTTGTATTTCTGTGTTGGAGGTTTGGAGGGGGGGCTTAAACACGTATAATTAAAAAAAATAATGATGTGCAAATTATAGGCATAGCATCCTTTTTTTTTCTTGAGTTACGCAATAGACAGTGATTTCCTGAACAGCGAAAGCAGAACAGAAATCCCAGTGAATGGAGATGCTCAATGTGCCTCACTGTCAGGATGAAAAAGTCAGCCATCGTGGTCAAAGAAGCAGTCATAGTTTAACAAACGGGGCTGCGAGTGTTCATTGACCTTAATAGCCTCTGTTTGTGTAACCCAATAAGAACAAAGCATTTGCCAGGTAAAGGGTTTACCTACTGACAAAGTTAAGTGCCTCTCCAGTGGTGGTCCTCGACGAGTAGTGATCTCAATCCAAATGAGACGGAGAGAGGCGGACCAAAGTGGAAACTGTGTCATCTCGGGCGACAGAAATGAAGAGCATCATTTTTAAAACCGACAGCTTTCTTGAGAGGCTTCTGGAATCAGAAGGGGAATCGGAGCAACTTCTCACTGTGTCAAAAGACGTCACTATGCCAGTGAGTGGCCACATTGTCCCGAAATAGCCCCATTCTTCATTGGGTCCTAATTAGAGGTCTTCAACAGAGGGTCTGCTGAGGTACTGCAGGGGGGCCGCAACATTTTTGGTTGATAAGACAATTTTTCTTTTAAATTTAATTTCTTTTTTTTCCACAAATTTAAATGTCTACAGAATCAGAATTTTTATTGTCTTTAAATACACATTTACATAAATCCCAAATATTGTAGCGAACGGATAAATAGATGGAGAAGACGTTATCTTTCAGTCTGCAGTACACACATCCATCTTCCCACAGCAGCTCTCTCAAGCTGGGCACCGGTTCATTCACAGCACCTTTCATGCAAATACGACAGCACAAGCACCAGCCAATCAGATCGCGTCTAAAGAGCGCGAAACTCAAAAATAAAAGGTGGCGGACCAAACTGCTCCGTTTCGCCATCAGTTTGGGGGACCTTGGCCTGAAAAAATCAAATAAATCCTATTGATTTTGAAAGTATTTGTTATGCAAAACGCTGAAAATGGGGGAATAAAGATCAGTTTAGGAATACGCGTTACTTCATGTATTGGAGGAGAGTCCGATCGATCGCTGGGAACAGCTTCTAGGTTCCAGTGTCCCGTGAACAAAATAATGTAAATAGCCTGAAAGTTAGTGGAATAGAAACATAACTCTTTATTCTTTAAAATTACAGAAATAGATTGCATATATTGCCACCATCTTAATCTGGGATTTACCTGGAAAAAATAGAAAAAGCAGTGAAAAACCAAAGAGATTTACTATGAGCTAATTTCATTGAACATGTATTTCTAAAATATTTTGCATTATTATATGAAACCAGGTAAATCCGGACTGATTCCATACAAATTGTATTAATCCCAAAGCTGAGAGACACAAAACATAAAAAACAAATTAATCACAAAATCAGCTTAAACAGTCAAAAGAGTAAAAATAAATTTAAATGTCACATTAAAAATATACCTTAAAAAACAAGCCAATATCAACAAAAACAACAGAATTCCTCATCCAAATATAAACAAATAGTTCCTAATAAGAAAACTTAAATTAAAATCTTTTGACATATTTTTAAAAGAGTCCATTTGTTTCCTTTTGTTGTCACCATTGTAAACATTACTGCAACATAATCACATTGCACAGAATCGTTTGCTTGACTTTTACAATATAAATCTGTATATCTCCACGTGTTTTAATAATATAAATGAGTATAGTAAATCCGTAGCTCAAACAGTCGTGTCAGGTGTTTGATGTCAGTCGAACATCAAGTGCTCCATAATGTTAACATGCGCTGCGAGAAATGAAGCTCAATCAGGATTTCTGTCAAAGTGTGTTTTAAAGGACACAGTTAAACCATCCATTATAATAAGGTCATCAATTCCGGATGCACATGCTTTGCAATCATTGAGAGGATAAGCACCACTTACTGGTAGGTTAGTGCCCTTGGGATAACAAGAACACAGATGTTTTTCAAAAAGTAAGTCTCTTGGGAAAATGTCTAATTAAAGTGAAATAGGGGTTAAGAGAGATTCCGCTGTGCCATAAAACCAATACAACAAAAGAAAAGTCCTTCTCTCCCCTGATGCTATTATTACCCACTCTGCTGGGAAGCATTCAGTGAAGTAATTAACTTTGCTGACATGTAGTGAATTCTCGCCTCCCGACTGAATGCCGCATGTGCAGATAGACTGATGAAAAACTTCCATTTAGGTTTCAATCTTTAAATGATTCACGTCTGCCCACATTACTACAGTAATTCTGATTATAATCACACTCATTTTACACTTGGTAGGAGATAATAGTCACTGCTTATCCTCATCAACGAGAGCTAATTGTCCTCCTACTTCTTTTTGCCACGCAAAATAGAACACCTGCTGTAGTCCACTTGAAGGTGGCTAAGCACAAAAATAAGGACATGCGCGAGGTTTAATGAAACAGAACATCTCCGTCACAGCGGCAAACACCACAAGAAAATGTCGTCTGATCATGTGTGTCTCTCTTTTACAATTTCTTTGTTGATGACCCCTCGTGTTTGCCCCCAAAGTGATGTCCTTTTGCTTGTTTCGCTTGATCAGAAACATAAAGGAGAATTGCTCCAGGCTGGTGGGGTTCGCTAAAATATGTATCTGAAAACATTTGAGGCAAGAAATTGGAAAATATTCCGCCTGTGATTGACAGCCGCGTTATAGAATGCCCAGAGATTTATTCACACACACTTATTACATATATGTCTAATGTATTACTGTCAGGATATGGTGACAGTTTGAGCAAATGTGATAAAGTTATTTAATAAAAGTTGCAAGCTGCAGCATTAAGATAATAGAACAAAGTTATATTTGAGGAGACTCTGACTTAGAGCTACTAAAGACTCTTCATAAAGCAATGATCATTCAGATTTTCATCAAAACAAATTTTTTGTGGTGAGCATGCACTGCTTTATGGTCTGTTGAAACTGGACCGTCATTTAGTAAACAACAAAAAACAACAAAAAACAAACGCCATAATGTAAGACTTGAAACTAGTGATTGAGACCATAAACTTCTGAGGTAATAAATCAAGTGAGAAGTAGGATCCTTTTCTCATACACGTCTTTACAATCAGTTATTTCAGAGTTGTTTTTCTGGTTAATATAGAAAGGGAAAGTTTTAAGACACTTTAAAGTAGTAAAGTCAAATGTAAGTATTGTAATAATAGACATATGATAATATAGAGTAAATAATCCAGCAACTTTTAAATCAGGCTTTTGTGCAGTTATGTTTGCCCACTATCCCATCAGCTGGTGCCGCGGCTTCGCGTTAAATGCATTGCATTGAAAAAAACAAACATGGGGGGGCTTTTGTTGTAAAGCAGTGAAGACATTTCTGTTTCTGTCATTCAAAAAAGCCTCTACAAAACTATGCAACAGCATTTTCAACAGCAGATCTGCATATTCTTTTGATAAAATTACATGTGTGTTTGGAAACATCACTTTGTTGCATTTTGTTGCTACGGCAACCACAGGTGTCACCAGATCACCTGTAACAGAGCTGTTATAGATCATGGCTCTAACCATCTTTGTTGTCATAATTGTGAGATAATTGGAAGATAAAACTAACCGAGACTAAGTGCAAGCCATCAACACTATATTTTTGTCATGGGTCAGCGAACACAACAAAGATTACATCGCGCCTCCTACACCTCAGGTATACTGCTATATGAATACTATATAAAGCTGTCATTGTGTATTTTATTGTGTAAATAAATAAAGGAAATGTCTTCTCTGAAAAATATGGCTTCAAAATCAAACAAACAAGGTGGTTTGACAATTACAGATTTGAGAACAAAGCCTGAATGACAGCTGAGGGATTCACTCCCTGCAAGTGTGGAAAACTAAACCCGTCAGTGGAGATTTCCGTTTGAATGTTACAAATACCTGCTGAAGGAGGCGCGCAACACGCGCTCAAAGTTACTGATTTCTTTGTTTGCTCTCAGCAAAACCACACAATATGTGTTTGTCACACCTCCTAATCTCAAGTCAAAGGGATTTCTTAAACAGAAATTGAAATAAATAGTATTGCAAAGGTTAAAAAAAGATGAGTGCGACATTTCCTAAAATCCTTTTCTTGAAAGGGATGTTGTCTGCTGGACCAAAACCATTAGTCTAATTGGTGGCTTGTTGAGATCTGAAACTAGTGGTTAATCTGTCAATGAGGGCAGACCACTTCAGTGTCGAAAGGGCAGAATTGAGCTGAACATTTATGCACATTATCACAAACATTATTTAAGAAAATTCGCTTTAATCATATATTTGATTTTAAAACAGAAAACCTTGACTGGGAATGTTTTTCAATAGCTTGACACACACTCATAACATAATGCCGAATATAGAATTTACCGAGCTAACACAAGCGTCAAATATTTCATCTGCTGCTTAATGGTCATAATCAAAGAGTGCTTCTTCAAAGCTGATCCCCCTGAGTACACACAATAACTGAAAAACAAAGCAGTACAGCAATCGGGTTTATGAGTCATCGCTGGTGTATAAACTATATGCGGTTGGGATGTTTTATTCTGACATGCTGTAGTACTCTGGGTGCATCCACATTACTATACAGCCAGAGGTTTGTGTGTTTGTGCGTGTGTACATTTTCTGTTCTAGTTTCTAATGTTTTTTTGATGGAATCCTTCACATCAACTTACAGCATGCAGTCGTTCCCACTAAAAAGGTTTTAGCCGTGAAAGTAAGAAACAGGCAACATTCTTTCTTAAAAAGAAACACATTGAGTAAATGAAAAAATGAATTTAAAAAAAGGGGGAAAACTTGCTGACTGTGTGTCCCCGCAGCAGCGCACGGGGTTTGATCATTCACGGGCCGGAGGTACAATGTATGTGCACGAGAAAATGAAAATGTCCTACGGAAGTGAAACATTGATTTGCTGTGAATGTAGCCTCTATGAGTGAATTTCAATTATAGGAATGATACCCAACAATGCTCTGGTAGGTTGTGCAGCTCTGAGTTCATTATTTGGTTGACTAATGTGAAGGCCTTGAGCTAGAGCAACCAACTAAAGCCTTTTTCTTCCATTGTTCACGGAGAAAGGAGCATGAAACATACCGTGTTTCTCTCTGTGGGTTTGCAGCGCGTGGGGGCGAGTTTGGGCCGAGTTTCATCTTTACTGAACAAATGGTTCCCCTGGAATTAGGTAAATGGGGTCTGAAACTTTATAAATGCTGATTCAAATGAAATTGTGGTCATTTTGTATGACAATTAGTCTGTTGCCAGTCTGTCATCAAGTATTACGCAGTATCCATTGCAGTTGCACTTAACCGAAGCCACTTAGCAGCACCCCAGTTAGATCTCCCGAGTGTCACTGATAACAACTGTGCCGGTATTCTGTGCTGCAGGGAGTATTTAAACGAATTGATCTTTGGTAAATTGAAGTGAAAAGAAAAACCCCAAAGCTAATTTCCCTTTATGTTCATAGAAAATAAATCCTTCAAGTCTGTTCAACCCTCTTTCATTATCAAACTTAATTAGAGTTCTAAGCTGAGGCTGTTAGATTGTTAGATACCAAAAGTTTAAAAAAAAAAAAAGTATTTCAACGGCAAAATAATGATCCCTGTTGGGGTTTTACCTTTTTGGAAACAGTTTTGAACTACATCAAAATATGAGCTGATTAGCAAAATAGCGTTTTTATATTCTGTGTTGCTTATTTACTGGCATTTCATCAACATCACGTTGAACTCAAAAGTGATTGATGATATAGAAAAAGTGAACCATCTCTTTTGCAAACCAGTCACTTGATAATGACTCTGATGGTTGTTCCTCCCGTGTGGCCAATGAGTCATCCCTGGATGATGAATGCGTCTCCAAACACACACAGGGAACCTGGTGAAGCCATTATCACAGTGAAAAGCTTTGAAATTGGCAAGTTGGCAAACTTCTCTCAAAAGAAATTGCCAAGAGCGAGATGGCGATGGGTAACAAAGGGAAGCAACCTTTTTAAGCTCTACAGCAGGCTAACGGTGATTATATGTGTTTCCAGCGCTTTTACAAAGACCCTTATTGTTGAAAACCATTATTTTCCAAGGTGAAGTTTATAAAAGAGACCTGGCTGGAGACTCTCCTTACCAGACCCCCTTTTTCTTGGTTTGAAAAGGGAGAATTAGATTGATTCAGACAAAAAGCTCACTTTCTGACACATGCACTTTTGTCGCCTTGTGGTGCCCAAAACACGTCAATAAGTGAGACGTCACACCAGGTGAGATGAGCCAAAGGCCGGCACTCTCAGAACAGCACGGTGTCCGGTTCGGACTCAGCGGAGCGGCTGCTTAGATGCCCCAGGAGCAGAGAGCGCTCAGCGCAATCTTTCTGTGCCTTAGTGGAGCGTTGCATTCTGGGGAGGGTGCAGCATGGAGTCGGCTTCAGAGGAGTCCCTGAAGGAGGCAAGTCTGTGGGTAAAAAGATCTCTTAATGTTTTACCACAGATGTTACTATAAATGTCCACAGCCTGAACTGCAATAGATACCAAACAATCAAAGCTTATGAGCTGAATATTTAACACTGGCTTCTGGGAGCGAAAAACATGTCTGACCTTCCCTCTTAAATTGTTCTTCAAGCACCGCTACAAATGTCACCTATGTTGGATAAGAAACTGGTAAGTGATGCAAGTATGGCCTATTAAATTTGGTTCCTTACTACCTCACTACTAGGAAACAGTATTTCTACAAGAAAACGTAGAATGAGTCATAAATAAATGTATATTATATACTGTCATCAACTTACAGCATGCAGTCGTTCCCACTAAAAATATATTCATTCAAAATAGTATGTGATGTATGCTATTAAATATATGCAATTAAACTGTAGGATTAAAGCGTGCAGGTACAATCACCACATTTTACTGGTTGAGATCAAAATGAAGGTTGGCCGTGGAGACCAAGGCGAATGGGGAAAAAAGGGCCTGTTGGGTCAGAATCCTTGCTCATCATAAAGGAAAGAAAAACTCACCGTCATGGTCTCCAAGCTGTGAGCCGAAATCAACTTCATCCCACTCATAATTCTCATCAACTGAGGCTTTTCTCCTGGAAAGGTCACAAAAAATCACTTAGTATACAAACACAGCTTTTGACTGCAGGCATTGAAGGACTCATTATTGTTTACCGATGGCAAAGAACCTCGCAATAAATTATACATCAATGGCATTCATTAAAATGAGTGCTGACATGTCTTATAACGTCCGACCTAACGACTTGACTTCATAAAAAGTGTCTTTGTTTATACAAATGCATTCAAATGCCAGAGACACTGAAGGAAACTACGTCTATGAAACATGCAATGTCATGGTTCATCCACGCTTGTTCAGACACATCAAATGCTTTTTATTCTTTTGACATTTCTCCAGCATACTTACAGTACAAAAGAAAGCATGAAATAAATTCTGTTTGTTTATAAACCCTTTGAAGCAGTCCAAGCTGGTGACATTAACAAGGTATTTGAACAATAATCACAATCTGAAACCAAACAATTTGTTGTACTTCCCTCTGTAAATTATATTAGTATAAGGCGTATAATAGGCTCACCTTGACAGCCTCATAATGACCTCAACGGACCCTCCAGCGCTACTAATGTTAGCCCTCTAATGTCTTCAATAAAGCTTAATTCCCCTCAAGTCCCTATTACCTTTGGCTTAGCTCCATTTGGTGACTGTGCCGGTCCTCTGTGCCATGCTGGCCCTCCTCTACGGTCTCAGGTGAGCAGGGGAGGGTCGGGGAAAGGTAACACAGGGACAAGCGTCTGCTGGCGGGCTCCATGCTGCCACGCCCGCTGCTGGCATAGCTGCTGTAACTGCTCCCAGACTCTGGCACCTCGTAGCCCCCCGACTCCACCCCTAGTGCCACTTGGTAATAGTCGTCGGCCAGTAAGCATTCGGAATCTTTTTTCACGGCCTCGTCTGAATCGTCTGACTTTTTCATTGCCTCTGTGTGGTCTACTGCCCATTTGGCGGCATTGGGAAAGAGAAACGCCTCTCTTCTTGGCTCGCGGCGATAAGGCATCTCCGCTTTTGGTTCGGGCCTTTCCGACCTCTGGCTCCTTGGAGATAAAGCATCTACAGCAGGAGTTGACCAGGAGCCAGCTTGTGTGCGAGAAGCAGAGTTTGCTGGAGATTTGGAGATCTTCCTCTTCAGTGAGCTCTGGGGCTCACAGAGCAGAGTGTCTGCATGGCGTGCAGACGCAACAGAGCAGTTTTCTTGGCTGAGGGAGTCTATCCACGCATCTGGAGGCAGGAAAGTGCTTTCCTTCCGCCTCCGTGAGTCAAGGCTCTGACTACGCTGCTTAGAATCCCAGAGTTTTGAGCCATGGGTCCCGGCTCTCCGGGGTTCTGGTTTTGGAGTATATGAAGCGGCTGGGATCCTGACAAGATTGTCCACAGAAGCAGGACCGCCCCAGCGAAAGCTTGTGCTCCTGCTTGTGTCTCCGCGGTGACCTCTGCGAGTCAGCGAGCGCTCGTGTTGCACATGCGAGGCGATTCTGTCGTGCAGCATGAGCTTGGCAGGCCGTGCCTCACACGCCTCCCACTCTGGCTCGTCCACACTCATCTCGACACACACGTCTTCATCAGTGGGCTGGCGGAACTCTACCTCCGCTTTTGCGGAGTCTGGCACTCCATCGGCAGCCCAACTAGATCCCTCGGTGTATTCGCTGTTATGGAAAAACAACGTTGAAAGGCTGCCATGACTAAGACTGTTCTGTGTCCGTGTCCCAGAGCATGAATCATTCGTTTGCATTGCTAAGACTGTGGATTGTGGTGAATTATTATAGCCCCGTGGGGCTGCCTCTACCCTTTCATGTCTCTGGTGCTTTGAGGAGAGATGTGGGAGAGTTAATCTGCCTCTGGAAAACGTGGCTCCCTCTTGAGATAGGAGGGGGGTCTGTTCAGCAAAGGATGGAGCGGGATGAAGGTCGCCACACTTAAAAGAAGAAGTACTCATGGGTGAAGATGCACTGGAACAGGTCCGGGGCGGGATCAGAGTCAGAGGTGGGCGGACATCCCAATGCAGAGATGAGGAAGAGGAAGAGCTCCGTGAGGGACCAAAGCGCTCTTTGCTGCCCTGGGGGTATCTGTGGGGTAAAGTGCTGCTTTTATATTCCCACACAAGCTCATTACCACCAGCCCCGACGCTCTCCAGGTCGGAATGCTCCCTCATTTTTCTCACGGGGCCCCTCTCAAGAGTGTACCTCTGCAGCTCCCTCTCCAGCTCCTCTCTCTCCCGAGCCAGATTCAGGCAGCGACTGAGGTTTCCTCTCTCGCGCTCGTGCTCCATCTGCAACACCAGAGAACTGGCGGTCGTGGATGGTTGACCAATACCGGCCCGGATGTGTGGGAGCACTGGAAATGTAGGAGTTATTCTTCTGTCTTCATAAGGAACGGTGACCAAACTACTGTTTGAGCCTATGCTGCCGAAGTTGGGAAAGCCAACGTAGCTCGTCTCCTGATCTGAGATGTAAGGACCATGATAGGACAAGCATTGGGCCCTGCCAACTCTTTGCTTTGTGGAATCAACCTCAACCTCTGCTGGTTTGCAAGGTGGGAGATCAACAGAGAGCACAAATGCTGGCTGCTTCCTGTTTTCCTTATCGGAGTGCATTGACACGGACCTTCGGATACGAGCATGGTCGTACCTTCCACTCTCCTTGCTGGGAACACTTAGGGCGTCATGGTCATACGGTAGGAGTTCAAAGCGCCCATCCGGGCTTCTGGAGATCAACTCGATTTGGGAAGGAATCGGTGAAGAAGTTGTCCTCGTAAGGCGGCCTCTGCCGTAGGAGGTCGGGAGTTGCTTTCCTCGACTCTCACCGCCAAAGGAGGAACAGTCTGTCTGTGAGGATGAGGAGGTGGTGGTGGAGGAAGTGGTGGGATGACGGACGCTGGCTGGGAGTAAGCTCGTCTTCAACACACTGTCTGGACTGCCAGCGCCGGAAGTCCTTCTGTGGAAAAGAGAAAGAAGGGGAGGGAGGGGTGAAAGAAGAAAATGTAAGACCAAAAAACAACAACGTAGGTGTAAGAGCGAACGAAATAGAAGCAGTGAGTGAGAACGAGAGAGAGAGAAAGGGGGGCGGGAGAGATGTAGATAGAGACTAGAGCAGCAGCGGCGAAAGAAATAGATGAAAAAATGGAAAATAACATGCGTGCTGGCATTCTCCACATTCTGTTTTTAAAGGAAGCTGAGGGAAAGGTCAACGGAGGCATTATAATGAAATGATGAAGCGGTACTTACATTGATGGGGAGCATTTATAGATGACAGAGAGGGGCTCTGAAAGGGAGGGAGAGGGTGAAGATGGTATCTGACTCATTAGGATACAACCACACTGTGATACAACCACAGTGAAAACATAACCAACCCCAATAAGGCCTATAAAAGGGCCTGAGGCATCTCGGCTTGACAGAAATGTTAATTACACCTTCACTTTTTTTACATTTACCAGCCACTGAGAAGTCTTTCTAATTAGCAAGTAATGTAAATGACATAAATAACTTTTACAAGTAAATAGACAAGCGGGCGACAAGCTGAATGGCAAATCTATGCAGAAGGGTATGATTTATATAATGGATTGAAAGTGCCTTCAATATTGGATTGAAGAAATGGTGATTATTCATGATGCAGTTCATCGAAGTGCGCGTCTACTGGGTCTCTGGAGTGAGGGGCGTTTTACCTCGCGTCTTCCTGCTGCGACGCTTGTCTCTCTTGCGGCTGATGATACAGGCGGACCCCAGCAGCAAGACCAGTGCCGAGCACATGAAGCCGATCCCGCCCAGCACGCCGGCCAGTAATGGCTCCGGGACCCGCTCCAGGAGTCGGGATGTGGCGGGGTAGATCTCCATCCCTGTTAAAATCATTACAGCAGTGATATATATGTATACACACACTTATATATACAATACGAATAAGTTGCCAATTTAATTCCAATGCCAATTTAATCCCAACCCAACATGATTTAGATTTTTCTTTTACTTACATACATTTTAAATTTTAAATAAAACGTTTTGTTAATGTTTTAGTAAAGCTAATTCTTATATTATGAAAAACTATTGATCTGTTTCAATTACAAAAACAGCAATCATATTTAATTCTACCCTTTTAAACTTAAATTACTTTAAATTGAACCAAATGCACTAAGTGTAAGTGTGTTTAAAATAAGGCTGTGATTGTTGTAGCAGCCCTCGCGTGGTACCAGTGGGAGTTGAATATCCCTCCTCTCGACATCTCTGTAGAGATGAAAAAAGACCAGTGCAAATTCTCCCACTAACACTTTTGGGTTAGTTATTAGCAAAGTTATTTCTATTATTCAGGCTTCTAATGGACAGCGTTCCCCCGGGGCCTGCTCTAATTTTGCTCCAACGCTGGAAAAGAGGGACGGGGGAAGGGAAAAAAAGAGGGACTGAAAGAGGAGGTGGACAGGTTGAAAAGGGGGGTGGGAATGCAATCGGGGGCAAGGTTGCACTTGAACACCTACCCATGGTGGAGACATTGACTGATGGACTGGGCTCGCTCAGCAACTCCCCGCGACGAGATAGTAGCCGCAGCTCATACACACAATCCTGACACCAGCATCCGCGTACACACACACACACACACATTGGGGAGGACACACACTTTGTCAACACAGCACTGTGCCTGCAATAGTAATGAAGTTCATTTGAATATGTGTAGGCCTACATAGCAGAGGAAAAGAAGGATGAGATGGGAGTTGGGAAAAAAAAATCAGCAGCGCACACAGGTTGAAAGGCAGCAGAAAAGGGACGGCTGCCATAAAGTGTGCATTATTAACAGCGAAGTGATTAGTCTCAGAGGGAGCGCCGTGACTGGCTTGTTACCTTGTGCAGACCCGGAACGACTATCTCGCTACGGTTGGCACTGATGTCATCCTCCAAAGGAAACCACTCCCCTTGGCCGGTGCGGGATTGGAGAACAAAGCCTGAGATGGGAGGGTGCTGAGCCTCAGGGAGGGGCCACTGCAGAACAACACCGGCTGAGCCCCGATTAGCCGACAGCGACGCAGGGGGTTTGAGTTTGCTTCTCCTCGCCGGAGGATCTGATGCACAGGAATAAAAGACCTCAGCTTGACAGGCTCTGGTGAAAAAATTGAATTATTGTTGAGGAAATTGCTACTGCCAAAGATAGGCTTTGGCAGGGTCTGCATATGATGAAACACAGTGAAGTCAGTGATCTTCAAAGCCGCTCATCCTTCATAGAGGGTCACGGGGGCCTGTAATCAATCCCGGCTAACATCGGGCGAGCAACAGGGTGCACCCTGTCAATCGCAAGGCTGACACAAAGACAAACAACCATTCGCACTCACATCCACACACCTACGGGCAATTTAGCGTCACCAATCAACCTGATCCCCAGAGCATGTCTTTGGACTGTGGGAGGAAGCCGGAGAGAACCCACGCAGACACGGGGAGAACATGCAGACTCCACACAGAAACGCCACTGGGCGGAGTAGAAACCAGCACCTTCTTGCTGTGAGGCGACACCACCACGCCACCGTAGTAAAATATCAGAAGGTTTGATTATAATTGTAATGACAATTTTGTAGATAATCCTAGTATGAAATATTGTTAACCGATTATTCCTAAAAGTTATATTGGTAGATTTCAATCACTAAAGCTGGTGAGAATTTAAAAAAAAGTTATCTAAATTCAATTCATTTAACTCTTATCTAGCACCGGGTTGAATCTGCCAGGAAGGCAGAAATCTGCATTTAACGTGCCATGTTCATATGTAAAGATAAAAAAGGGGCGATGTAACAAGAGAAGGAATTGAAATGACATTTGTTCATTGAGTATTTCACAAACCTGCAGCTGGATCCCAACTAAACCCGCCTTATATTCAACGGTTTTGGGGGAAACTGGGGAGTCGTACTGACCCGAGGTGCGTGCCACGGTGATCTCGCTGAAGGGCCCCGTGCCCATCTTGTTGTGCGACAGGATGCTGAACTGGTACTCGGTGGCAGGAGACAGGCCTTTCACCTGCAGGCTGCAGCCGGAGGAGGGGGGCACGGGTACGGAGAACCAGTTCTGCCTTCCATCATTATCACCAGCTGTAGTCTTCTTCACCCTGCAGACGGAGAGAGGAAGGAGAAGTGAGAACAAAAGGGCGGCGGGGGATTCTGGCAGTCTGGTTTCATGAAACATGACAGAAAAGTAGGTTTCATTAATCATTCATGCTCATCATCAGCTCCAGATTTTGTGGTGGAGACAGCGCTGATGTATCCCCGCTATTGCACAAAGCGCTTGCAACTGAAATTATGTTGATTTCGTGTTCAATTGGAGCTGAGATTGTACGTGTCTATTTTATACAGAGCAAATGACTTGGCCCAGAGGCTGGAAGAAAAACTATTCACTTACTTGGGGGAACTTTTTGAAATGATTGATGTGTCTTTTTTATTTTTTTATTTGCCATGATTACATTACATTACATTACAGGTCATTTAGCAGACGCTTTTTATCCAAAGCGACTTACATTACACTTTAAACCCGTGGCTTTTTCACATTTTTGCCCGGGGAGCAATTAGGGGTTAGGTGTCTTGCTCAGGAACACTTCGACATGGAACATGGGGCAGCCTGGACTTGAACCACCAACCTTGTGCTTCCCAGCACACCTTCTCTAGCCCCTGCGCCACGACGACCCATATTATGAGAAGAGAAAAGGTCAGTGTAGCTCACAGTAACATGGTGTCGATAGTTGGGATGTCTTTCACTTCACTTCAATTTAATTCAGAATATGTTATTGCAGTGAATACAGTAAGTTGTATCAATAACGCAAAATACAAGAGCAACCAACGCTTCTGAGAGTAAATGGTGAAAGCTGATTCCCACATGATAGGGTGTGAATATTTGCCCACGGACATTCCACATTTTTTAAACAACTGCATGATAATTATTTGATGTGCTTTATGAGAGAAAAAAAATGTGAGAAATGTCAACGGTAAAATACATTTTTATATTGTTTTGTCTCATGATAATATATGGTCATTAAATGCCAGGCTGCCAGAGTGACGAGTAGCTTACAATACTTTGTTGTTTTTGTACTAATTGGCTAATCTATTTTTATGTGGGTCTTTTATGCCATTTATATTCATTTTATTACTGAAGTAATGACCCAGTTCCCTCTGAGGGATTAAGATAGCTCATCTCATCAGCATCTTATGTATTGCTCCGAGGTTACAATATGATTAAGTGCATCAGGAGGTTTTCTGTACATCCTCTAAATCTAAGTACAGTTAAGGTAATCCCGCTTCTTTAACACCTAATTTCACTGATATAACCTGCCTCCTGAGATCCTTATTCTGTATTACACCTGACACAACAGTAAAACAAGTGTTATTCCGCTTTTGTCTTGAAAAGAGAACCCGTTCATTTCTGCTTCACTCTCATCCAGCTGCTTGCAGTTTTACATTCCTTTCCATCCTTGATTTACTGTACATCACTGGCCTATGGACAACACGTAGCCCTGGGTAAAGGAAAGGCATTCATCTGAGATAAACCGAAGTGCAGATTATTTAACTAATGTAGCTAAGGCCACTGCATTATACAGCTATGGTCTGCAACAGTGTCCATTGAAGTTGCAAAGAGGTGATATTAGATGAAGGAATTCCTCATCTTAGAGATCAATAGAGTAAAACCAGTGCAACCGATGGCTGCCATGGTTACCGAGGAAGAAAGTGAGAGGCTTTACACCCACCAAACTGAAAATGTCTGTGCTGATCCCCCATCAAAGCCTGCCTCCCAGGAAACGTTGGCCTGCCTCACCCCTGGAGAGACGGACATAGAGGTAGCCGCATGGGGACTTGTTCCTGTAACGGAAGGAAACGGTGAGGAGCTGATGGATAACTGCCAGCAGCAACCACCTGATGCTGCTGGAGTTCAGAGGCATCTTTCAGGGGGCGGAGTGGAGGCACCTGAGCGGCCCTACAGAGGTATGTGCATGGAAGAAAATGGGAACAAATGGTATTGGTCTTCTGTTTGCACTCACCCAGGACAAAGACTTTTGTGCTGGCTTTCACCGAGGCTACGCGGTTAGTGGCGGTGCACTCCCACGACCCTTGATGGTCCTTTGTGACAGGCTGTAGGAGGAGAGAACCATTGGGTTCTACGGAGTAAGAAGTTCGACGAGCCAAGTCGACCTACCGAAAAGACAAAGGTCATTCACACGTGGAAGCAAATTTGGCACTGACAAGGTAAATGTATGACAATGTATTGTAATGTAGTGCAATAGGAAAGTCCATTGGTCTAATTATTTGCGTACTCCATTTTTGAATTAATATAGAAATGCCATAAGACAAATCTGGGAGATTAGCACGTTCAAGACAGCCCTTGAGTTTGTAGCATTCTGAGCTGGGCATCTATTCCGACATTCCTGGGACTGTTTTGTGCTTCTGCAAGTGTCACTTTTTGCAAGAGCTGCCGCTAAGGATAACAAAATGGAAACGCTCCAGTTTGTTACCATTGACTTTGAAAGCGTTCATTTATGCACACAGTTGCGGTGAAGACGTCAGTTGGATCCACCAGCTCTTGCATAATATTCTGTATTTCTAAGTGAAAAGGAATATGTGGGCATGGTGCGATTACAAATAGGATTTAATTCAATCAAGCTGTAGAGGACTGTTGGCATCCATCCACCCCTCCCTCATAACCACCTACCTCCAACATGCTTCTTTAGCAAAGTTTTTACCAACTGACAACCACCTGCACACAATATTGCTCTGCTAGACACCACGACCCACTTGATAGTGGTCAAGTGCAGTTTTATTCAATAGGGTTAGCTTGCTGCCTCAAACTGCATCTGAAGATATATTTTTTAAGACAGAAAAAAAGATTTATTTTTTGCATGCATTTGGTACTAGATAATTCTTTTTTTCCTGCCATCATTTTTAGAAGATGTGGACATTCATACTAGACTAATGCTGTAGGATCTAAGTTTCGACTATTGTAAGAGGGTTACAATAGTACAAGACAAAACAAACTGCTTCTTGAATAACCTGTACTGGACAATTTACCTTGCTCCAGGTCACTTTCATTGTGGAGTCCTTGTTCCCCTGACAGGGGATGAGCAGAGTTCTACCAGCTTCCTGTCTGTACTGCTCCTCTGGAGCGATGCTGAATGATGGGGGGTCCTGTAAATTTGCAAAGCAATATGGCAAATTCAAGGAGGTTGCAAAAACTGAGAAAATGTCGTTTAAAGACCGGATTACTGCCGCTATGATTATCTCAATAACAATAGGATTAGCCGCACAATTACCCCCCCCCCCAATAGGGGAGCCACCGCTGTGTGTCTGAGTTGACTTCTATTAATGCCAGAGGGCTCAAATGTCAGCGTGAAAAGGTCAATAAAATGTTGTTTCTGATAAGTTTTTCATTCGCCGTGACGGCTACAGTTGTGTATAATTAAAATGCGCGCATGGTGGTTCAGATAGACAGTTTAGCAGAACCACGAGTAAAGACTCAGTAGCAGTTTTGTGAGCTTTTAAATGACATCCGCTGAGTAAGCTAGAAGGCCCCGTGGTGCATACTGACCTGCAGAATAACGTCCGTTGGCTCAGATGAACCCATGCTGCCGTAGCTGTTGTATGGGGTACACAAGTACACGCCTGCTGTATCGTCATTGACTGTGGTCATGAACAAAGAGCCCTCGGGTGTCAAGGTCCATCCTGGATACTGAAAAGAAACGCACAATGCTCAAACCACTCTGACCAGGAACTTGCACATTCAGTTTTGAATGATTTAGCAAAGCATTAATGGCGGTTAAAAAAGCTTGAAGATCAGGAAGGCAGGAAATAAGCCCAGAGGTGTGAGCTCCTCAGCGATGTGTGAAGATTTTTAAGACCTCATTCTTTGATATCTGCCCCTCACAGTCCTGAAGTGGCTTGGTACTTGAGTCCCCACAGGAGGATTATTTCACAACTCTTTTTGTAGTTTCAGCTTTCGCAAGATGATATCGAAAGAAACCTTAAAAGATGAAGTGGTCTTCTGATTTTCCTTTTTGGGCGTTATGATTATTATTCCTAAGTGAATCGCTAAACACATAAAACGAGTGCACCGAAGAGCTTCCCCAAATTCAATTTTGAGGCTTTTGCATTAAAGACTGTAAAATTTCAGACTCAATCAGCCGCAGCAGTGGGCACGTGTTGTGCTTCCACTGTGCAAAAGGTTCCCACTTCTTTTAATGAAGTCAAAACCGCTATTATCCTCCCCAGAATGAGGCTGAGAGAGATTGTAGTAATGGGTGTATGAGAGCTTGAGACATCCAGCGTGCGATAGGAATAATTGGCAGGATAACAGCCTGACTCCAGTGCCTGCGTCACACGTCCTGTGGCGCGTCACATCCGACGTCCATCACTCACAACTAAGTGCAAAAGGGCGTGGGGGGTCAACCCAGCATGTGAGGGGAATCAGGAGAAGGTGGGTGGATCCTTTGCTTGTGCAAAGAGATAAACCGCCACCATCTTGTTTTGAAACATGAGTGCATTCATATATGGTTTTGCAAGAAGCGAGAAGACAAAAACAGCTGAAACGAAATCTTGTGAGCCACTGCTGAGATGCCACTCTCACTCCCTCATCCATGCGGGTCCTACAGCCATCCCTTAGACGCAGGGAGCAGGAAATTGAAGTGGAAGTGAAAAAAGGAGAGCGATGGGCAGTAAGGAGTCCCTCAGGGATTGCTTCCAAAGCTCTTAGGATTTGCCCTGACCGTCCCTGTTCTTTAAGATCTATGGGATTCAGTGACTGACCAATTGAACTGCTGAAAGGAGATTTCCATTAACGGACGCACCTATTAAACTGGAAAAATGTTCATAACTTCCTCCTCTGTCTGTAAGAGAAGGAAAATGGTTTCTATGCGGTTCGGCTGGCGAGTTAGAATGATTGTTAGAAAAGCTTTTGCATGATGAGCTGCTGATTTCTGCTCATTGACGCCTGTAGTCAGCAACAGGGTTCCGACATTTCTCTGATAAAATGGAAATAAACAAATAGAGTGGAGGTGCTAGCCGGGGACAGAAATATAAATGTGTTTACACGGTGAAGGTCGGGCACTATTGTGGCGACGGCGCCCCAATGGAAAATGAATAGGTGCATTACCAAGGACAGGTCCAGTGGTTCTCCGTCCTTTGTCCAATCCACCCGGAGCAGCGGGGGCTGAGCAGCCGCTGGGCAGGTGACCACGCCCTCCATACCCGTGGGGAGGTACGTCTTCCGTGGCATCGGGAGAGCCTGGGCCGGGTCTGAGCACAGGAAATAAATGAAAGTAGTTTACTTTGTGAGAACTAACACGATGCCAAGCGTAGTACCGGAGCAAAAAAACTGTAAGACGATCCATAACTTTTCATTTTAAGAACAGATTGTTTTGTTGAAACCAATTTTCTGCGACTTTGCTTTTGTCACAGGTTCTGCTGCTGTATTCAGCTGACTGAACGTGTCCAAAGGGTTTCACAGGTCTAAAAATAGCAGTGAATTGTACCAAGGAACAGTCCTGGGTAATAGGCTGACCACGAGATAAGAAATGCAGGAGATGGACTTGCTGCTGCTATTGGCCAGCAGATTAACACGTTGTTTAATGCACGGTCATTTCTATTATCTGAAGCTGTTATAGGCTTGTTTGCACAAACAGTTTGATGAGTTGAGAAAGCACAAAAATCTATATCTATATTTCAATCAAAAATATGATTAGAATTCATATATCTGAATTCCAGCTTCATGAATAAGCTCTTAATGGTGTTAGCGATGATTGTCGCACAGCATATTTCTCTTTGAGAAAAGGGCACATTAACGTGCCTTTAGTTCTTTGGGCAAACAAACACGCTCATCAAGGGGATGAGACGTTAAACACAGACGAGCAACTCAAACGGGCAGAGAAATACTGCTTTTCTGTTGGGTATTTCGGCTTGTAACTTATCTTCACATTTACACATATATATACACAATGTATATTATTTCCAAGAGTTATTATTCTCTGGAGAATATACTTACATTGTACAATGCCAACGTTTTAGTGTTAACAAGCAAAATACACAATAACGATTGTTGAGTTAATGTTTGAATCACAATGTGTGGAAGAATAGGTAGTACGTATTCTTTTGAGGGCTCACGACTACAGACTACACACGGAAGCGTACGCATCACTGTGAGGTTGGCAGAGGCCGTCGGGGGGTTCGGCAGGCCGTTGGTCGGCATGCATGTGTAGTTCCCAGAGTCCTCGGGGATGAGACTGGAGATGAGGAGAGTTCCATCTACCATGATCTTCACTCGCGACTTCAGAGATCTCGAGGGACAGAGAGAAAGAGAGAAAAAAAAGCACACACAGGAATTCTTCAATATACAAGAACACAACAGCTGCTTCAAAATAAGAGTGAGAGGTAATTCAGCTCTTCCATCATATTCAAGGCGCTCGCCGTATCAACAGTGTAGGTGTTTTCTTTTTTTCCGCCGTGAGTTATTCACAGCTGTGAGCAGATGGAGGTTAAGGAAATCTCATTCTGCTTCAGTTGGAGTGGGAAGAAGAGTGCCCACTCATTTTATACATTCTACATTTAAAGACGGACCACTGAGAAAACCAGAAGCGTCTCACAGGCTGCAAGACCTTACTAACAGGTTACACAAGCACACGGAAGATTGGTGTTTGTGGGACATTTCTCAGTCACACATTTAATCTAATTACCATACAGGTCAGATGACTGACGTACTGGAACCAACCTGTTTATTTCTGCTGTGCAACTGAATGCTGCTTGTATATTAACAACGAATGAAATGGTTGATGTTAAAGGGGTCCACGAAGAATTATCCCCAACTGAGAAGCTCTATGGAGCTTTAACGGCTCTTTCAGCACAACATTTTAGAATAGCTTAGTTAGCAACAGTCTGCACGTTAACACGGCCGCCACTTTGGTCTACATTGAAATTTCAACAACATTTCCTGGATTGCCATCAAATTTAGAAATCCAGGCCTCCCAGAAATACTTTGCGTTTTGTGCTGATTAGCAAATGTTAGCATGTTAATAGACTAAACAAATATGTTGATCACGGTTGACCTGTATGTTATGCATCAGCATCTTAGTCTGCCGACATTAGCATTTAGCACACAACGCTACAGCGTACAGTGCCGCTAAAACAACCGTAGACGCGCCGTGGCGAATTGGCGCAGAGTTGTGAAAATGAAAAATGTGATCAAAAAGTGACACTCATTTCACTAACAGAACTGATTTGATCCTTCATCCTTTGCTTGTGGTTAGGTGAACGGCCCTCCGCCTAAAAGCTGATCCTGATCAATTATCCACCACAGGCTGGTCAGTTTTCTTGCTCGGGACTCCCTGTGGTTCCCACCGCCACAGCCCAAACGCAATAATTGGGTTGGGTTTTTTGTTGCCGTGATGGCTAACTGGAAGTGAATGTAGTTTTAGGTTTGTGTGACCTTTGCCCTCCTCAGTTTTCCCCAGCTGCAGAATAATTGGATGTTTCCTTTTTTTTGAAGAGTTTAGTTTAGCAGCTTTTCTCTCTATTTTGCTAGATACTTTTGCGTTGTAACTTTTTGCAATTGTCACTGTATAAATGTTGGGGAGGCTCAGCAGGGTTCCTTCCTCCCTGTTCAGCTTTAAGCATGATAATAATAATTCTATAAAAAATAAAAATGAAAAAATGATGTGATTTTCATTATATACATGCGAGGAAAATGACAAAAAACAAACAAAATTGAGAATATTTTGAAACTAAAAAACAGCAGGGAGAGTAAATGGTAAAAAGGACTGCACTATTTTTAACAAGCAATTACAAAAGAATATATTTCTGAAAGGTCGTAGCAGGCAATCAGATAATCCTGGTGTACTCTACTCTAAATGCCTCACTTCATTCAAGTTGGGTTGAGCATTAACCTGAGTGTGGCTGTGATGGATAATGATGTATTTGATGGAGAAATGCTCAGGAGTGGAAGTAATGCCAATTAACTCGCGCAGCTGCTAAACTGAACTGAGCCTAGGCGCGGTTTGCTAAGAGAGACCAATATTCAGGTGAATGATACGCTGGCATTCACGAAGCATTCTCAGCTCACTCGGATCCTCAGTGTGAAACCTCCCTCATGGAGAAGCGCAGTCGGTGCATCCACGGTGTCAGGCCAATCTATTTTTTTCTTTCTTTGCAAGTAGCATTTTTCTTTTTAAAACATGTTTTACGTGTCCTTCAGGCAGATGATTACATATTATCTTCATCAAGCCTGAAGCCTAAAATTTGTAATGCTTCTTTGTATCTTTTTTTCTCTGTTTTTTGTTATCATGCTGTATATTGAAAAAGAAAATGAGCTATAAAAGGCAAAAAGCCTCTTTTAAGCTGAGGGGGTGCTTCCCAGCGAGCTTGTGTCACCGCTTCAACATTACATCAGTCATTCATCAATTGTTCTAGAAAATGTTGATTTACCTATACCTTCAAGCTTTGAAAGGTACATTATGCTATTAATGTCGGCTGTTGCTCATAAAAACACAGCATAGTTGGCCACTCCTTCAAGGCTCCCCGAGCCCCAGAGACAGAGAGCGTGATTCAGAAATCATTTAGAGCCACAATGATATGAAGTGGGATATTTCCAAGAGATGAGGGTGAAAGGCAAGACATCAAGCAGCGACATCAAGAATTGGACCATTTCTTCTTGGTCTCATTTGTGCAGGTTTTGCGGCTGAAAAATGATGTATAATCCTTTTGCAAATTCGCTTCATTGAGTGCACCAGGTGAGGGGAAGAACAATCTGTACAGCCACAGATGGCTGTATGCATAACTTATGGGTCGGTTATTATATGACAAAAACTATTGCCAGACAATATTTGTAAATTTGTCAAATGTACAAGGTCTGTTTTTATCGCAAATCTAAAAATGTGGTTTTATTGTCACTTGCAACATTGATGGCAATTCTTCATTTTGTTGAGTTATTCTTATGTTGTTATTTTGCATCAATGTAGGGATGCATGTTGACATCGATTTGGAGGATTAGAATCACTATTTTTGTCACAGCGCTGCCACTTCTACCCACTGTCATTTCCACCTCTGACTCACCAAATCAGTTCATTCAGTGCACCTGCCAGTCACATCCACCTTGTCAGCTCAATCACACTCACCTGTCTGTCCTGCTCGCTCCCTTAAGTATTTACACCCCAGTCTCCCACTCCCTCTGCGCTTTAATGCGAGACCTTGCCAGCACTCACTCTTGCTGTTGCCGGCCCTGCCGGTTCCAGTAATTCACCCAGCCGCCGGTTTCTGACCACGAGATTCCCTGTGACTCCGTCACCTATGTGTGTCTTGTGGAAAATAGACTGGGACTAAGACTACTGCTGCTGTTTGTCGTACTGCTTCTGTGTCTGTACCTTACCATTTTCAAAAGAAGTATTATAATTTAATAATTATAATGTGGAGCTCTGCAACCTTCAGCGGTCACACCACAGGGACAACAGACGATACTCAAATGTTGACTTCTGGTTGACTGCTAATCCCACCAACCTGTGGATGCCGTTGTATTTAGGGGCCAACATTCCAAAGAGCAGGCCCAATCTCCCCCCCCCCCCCCCACACTCTTTCTCTTGGAGCCATTACAAATATTTGATTGCCAAAATTCTGTCGTGGTATACCAAAGAAATCTCAACTATGATCTAGTGTGACATTTGGATTTGTATTGGCCTGTGAGCACCTTTTTTGTGCGGCCAAAGTTAACTCCAGTGTTTCCTCTACATAGTGTTTTAATTTAGGTAAACTAATTAAATTCAGCATTCTTTGCAGCGTTTTGTTGTTAAAGCAAAACTTCATGATCTGTGTTCTGTTTGCGGAGCTTAGAGGGTGCATTCAAACACTCGGCAGTCCGCTTAATTTGATGCTAAGAATATTCGTTGCTCTATTGCACCCTGTTGCTCAGTTGGGAGACACGGTAAAATCGAACAAGAGCGGAGTCGAGCACGGCCTGCTAGACCCATGGTCAGTCGACCTGTGGGGAACCCTGAAGTCCAATAAAAGAAAATAGTTTTTAAATTAGAATGTTTTCTCAAAACAAATTGAACAATTGGGGAAATATTGTCTCTTTACATATTTTAGTTTAAGTACCACAACAACCAAAGCAGGAATCACCTCAGACCCACCCAAGGGAAAGACATTCTTCTCGGTCTTTCCTATTGACATAACTGAGCCGTGTGTATTTTACAATGGCTGGCTAAGTGTTTCTATTTTAGTGTAAGCCAAAGTTGGCCAACTCACGGATGAAAAAGCAATCCTGCTTTGAGGGACTTCCTACAAGCAAAGTGAGCACCAGAAGCATAAAGAGTTTCATAAATAAATACCTAAGGGTTTAACATCTCTCCCCTTTCTCCATGTCAATTTTAGAAGAAGTTTTATGTTATCAAATCCTTCAGTGGACCGGCACAAGAGTACATGTCAGACAGTCTTGTAAGAAATGTCGCTTCTAGGCCCATCCGGCCTGTTGAGACAGGCTCTCATTAACTGGAGCTCAATGGACCAAAACCTCAAACACCTCTGAGGGGGGCGATTTTACTCTAAACAAAACACACAATTACTAAACTCACTGTATAAAAACATCGGCAGCAAAGGGTGCAGGTTGCACTCACTCAATGTGATGGACGTTCTCGCCTCCTCTCTGCCACACATAGGTCATGTTGGGGGGGTCGGCCAACGCCAGGCATTGGAGAAGTGCATTCTGGGACTTGTTGAGAGAAACGCTTGTTGGAGGGACGACAATAACCGGCGGACCTAGAGGGAGGCAGGTTACAAAAGACAAAACGTTAAGCGTTACACAAAAAAGCCAGCATTAGCTAAGTAAACCACTATTTAAGAGCATCACAGTCTTCAAAATGTCATGTCCCTTAATCACCGCTTCGTCGAGACTGTCAAATATCTGTCAGACACAAACGGCGTGTTTTGGTCACGTCGTTCCTCATTGTGACTTCAGCGCCCATAATAATAAATCAAGTATCTCGTACACCTAACTGAGGAACTCATGTTGCGCAAATGCCATTTTACCCCAAGCTCCGTATTTCTTGCCCTTAGCCACAGTAACAGAGTCAAACAAGCACCATCCATTTTAACAAACTAAAGATATCTTACATTCAATCCATTCTAAATTCAGCCCAACATTGCATCAACACCTTTTTGGTGTCTGATACATCACACGGTAGAAGCAAACTTACACTGTATTACACAATAAACTGGAGCCAGGTGTAAAAGTCTTACCAATGTAAACACTTTTATGTAACTCTACCTCAGGAAGAATAATCAGTCACACTGAAGCTTGAGGATGAAACTTATCTGAATCTGAAGATTCACTGGGTATCAGTTCTTGTGGCTTTAAAACAACGCTAGATTATTAGTAATGAATACAAAATGTCAAACACTTGTATTTTGAAAGGTTCTATTGGGCACATTATTTTGCATGTGGGAATCTACACAATGAGCAGTGTGATAAAAGTGCTAAAGAGTAATGTTATCCAGCGAGAGTCGCTTGGTAAACTTTGGGATTTTTCCAACCAATCTTCCCATGATAATGCTGTAAACAAAAGCTGTAGGCTGCAATGAAATCACCCGTGGCAACGCCATACCATCAATGTGCGCCCCCTAAAAATGCTTGTTGGCATGAATTGTTGTGTCTGACAACCTTACAAAAAGACCCCTTCCAATTCTACCGTCTTCCTCTTTAACTTTGGCTTGATCTGCTCTGCTATCATGTCTACCCAATCCTCACACGTCACATCCACATGGTCGAAATCCAATAAACACTTGGTTTGTTTGGGAAAATAAGTCCCTGGTTTGAAAAACCCAGATGAGTCTTGAAGCAATATGATATGCAATATTGAACAACATATCGTGTCATGAGAGAATGAGCTGCGTAAAATGACACACATCTCTGAGACACTAGGCTGTCAAATATACCGATGTCATCTCCTTGGCAACTAATTACTTAAAACCACTATACCGTGGTGCTAAAATGTCACATTGATCTCTTCCCCCTAGCGTGCCGAACGCCAACACGTGTTTGATTTTTGCAAAGATCTAATAAAGAAGGCTCGACATGCCACAGGATTTATGAATAAACAACCGCATGAAAGCAGTCATTAGCGGTTCGATTTATTAATTTGAAATGCTTGATGGCTGTATGCGTGGCCGACAGTTTAGTTGTTACTTAAGGCTTTTAGTCCGACTTCCTCCATATAGCTGTTAGTCTCCTATAATCCATCCATGTGGCAATCGCTGCACACAAATACATCCAAAAGCTCAGATAATGTCCCTTCGACCTAGCAGTATTAAGGCAGTGTGAGCTCGTGATTATTATTTAAAATGGGACTGCTGCGGCTAAAGAGATTTCAAAATGAAGTGAACACTCAGGGGACTGCGATGCCAAAACAACATATTTTAAGTCCTGGTTCTCCAGAGAAAATCATCAGTAGGTGTAGGAGTAGGTGTGCAGGAAGGAGTCAGAAATAAATTCTTTATGCACTGCTGCTGAGGCGATGTAACCCTATTACACACAGTAGCAGATTCAGCACGGGTTTGTCCTTGCCTTGGATGGCAATCGTTTGTAAATCTGTAAGTGAACTTATTTAAAAAAAAACTGAATGTCATGACACATTTTGACCACACTGTCAAGAGGAATATGCATTTCCCATTCATCCAGGACTGTTTGCAAAACTAATACAGACGTGAATATGTTAATAAACAGATATTCTTCATTTCTGTCAGCTAGAGCGGCTCAACGTGCTCCTCTGAAAATGCGACCTTAAAATTGAGCTAAACAAAAAAGCTTTATCATGACAAAGCAGCCCCTGTATCATATCTGATGCTATCAGTATTATCTACACAGGGACAGAAACAGTTTTGAAGGATTCCGTTTAACTTTGTTAAAGCTCCGTCTTCTGATGCAAGATGGAGAAACACAGACGTAGATGGCGGTGGCTTGCTGCCAGTCAGGCACGAAGACTTCACAGAGGCTGAAGGAACAGACACTGACCTTTGATCTTCACGTTGGTTGTGCGAGTCACGTTTCCCTCCGAGTTGGAGGCGTGGCAGGTGTACTCCCCTGCTGACTGCACGCTCACCGCTCGCAGAAATAAGCCTCCGTCCTGGTAAATATGATGCGGGTGGAGGATACAAGGGATGGGTAAATAATTGATTTATAGACAGCCAGTGGGGTAAACGCATACTGTAACTGTGATAGACAGATACATATGTAGCTAGACATTACCCAAGCTCCTTATGTAGCTAGACATACCAAAGAGCAATGTTACTACTAGTAGAACTAGAACATTAAAGCAGTGTTTTTTGTGTTTTGATTATGGCCACTTATAAAAAACACCTTGGAGTCGGGGCTTCTTGGCACTTTTCGGATTTGTGTGCTTACTGTGATTTACACTACACGCTTTTTTTTAAAACACAGTATTAGTTGTTCTATATTGCATATAAGATATAACAACATTATTGGCGCCTGAAAGAAATTGACAGAAGGCATGAAGACTGATAATTCAGTCCGATATCACTAAATGATGTGATGAAAACCCAATCTCTGTGTTCTGTGGGATGGATTTAAGTTGAGCAGTCAGAAGTTAAATCAGCCAGAGGAAACTACTCTCACACCGTTATTACATTATCATCCGTTAAGTGAAAGAGGCATTCTGGGTTAACATATTCTGCCCCTGCACTCACATAATGGGATGAAAGGAGCAAGGGGAGGCCGGTGAACAAAGGAAATGCATTTTGGTCATTTTGCTAATGTGCTACTGGATACAGTACCAACAGAAGACACAGCAGATGCATTTGGTGGAAATGGTGGAGAGAGCCAGAGAAAAATAAACTTATATTCCTGTTTAAGCAATCCCAATTGTATAAACAAACCTGATAATTTATTCTTGGAATCACACTGCCATCCTTCAGCCAAGTGATGGTTGGGGTAGGGTTGCCAATAGCAACACAGGGAAGAGAGAGCGAACTTCCAACCAGAGCGTCCATTGCAGGAGGCGGGGATTCAGCGAAGGTGGGTGTGGCTATTGAACAAAACAATAAGGACATTTGGACATTTAAGTAAATGATGGCTTTTAATGATAGGAAATTCCATGTCTTGGTTATTGGAAATCATTTACATTGTCATTAATGGTATTAGTAAGATTAATGTCTGTATTGCATCACATACAGTGGGGAAAGAAGTATTTAGTCAGCCACCAATTTTCTGTAATTTTCATCATACTTCAACTAAGAATCCAGGAATTCACATTTTAATGAATTAATTGGTAAATTCCTCTGTGAAATAAGTATTTGGTAACACTCCAAACTCCACTATGGCCAATACCAATGAGCTGTCAAAGGACACCAGAAACAAAATCGTAGACCTGCACCAGGCTGGGAAGACGGAATCGGCCATGTATCGTGAGATTTTGAGTGAAAACCTCCTTCAATCAGCAAGGGCATTGAAGATGAAACGTGGCTGGGTCGTTCAGCATGACCATGATCCCAAACACACCGCCCGGGCAACGAAGGAGTGGCTTCGTAAGAAGCCTTTCATGGTCCTGGAGATCTCAAGTCCATAGAAAATCTTTGGAGGGAGTTGAAAGTCTGTGTTGCCCATGCAGCGACAGCCCTAAAACATCACTGCTCTAGAGGAGATCTGCATGGAGGAATTGGCCAAAATACCAGCAACCGTGTATGAACTTTGTGAAGACCTCTGCCATTTTTCCCCCACTGTATTAAACAAATATTTTTTTCGAAATGCCTACATCTGAAGAAAGACAATCAAAGCTTAAATGCAGTAATTCCTAATTAATAAATCATAGAGGTTCCACTGCATAAAGGCTAAATAATGCATTTTCAGTATTCTCGCGCCAAAACACCCCACAACATCTTCCAAGATGCCAAACCCCGCTAAGAGGAAAGTTGGACTAGCTGGCAAAGTATTTTGTTTCTAGCTATAGTTAATTCAACAGCAGCAGCCTTTGCTCAGGTTACTGACATTCAGGTACATTATTATTTCATAAACTGGAGTGAAAATGTCAGTTATACCGCTTTTAGATCCCCATATGTGAACATTTGGCAGTCACTTTAAGTCTCAGATCTCATTTGTTACCCCTTTTTCTTTCAACATGCAACTCCAAACAAAAATAAACCCCTTGCAGCTTTAACAATCTATCCCAATTCTTCTCGCTCGTACCCTTAGTGTACCTTTGCACAATAAACAACTGGAGAAAACATTGGCCTAAGTATTTTTGTTTTGCAATAATCAGTCGTTTTTCTTTTCTTATCTGGATTGCAGGTTGAAATGTTTGCTTTGTCTTCACACAGGAGAGACCAGGGCCCCGTTCCATGTGCGTGGTTCAACTAAGTTGATCTAACTTCCTGATTGCAGTCATGCTATCTCGGTTCCTCAAAGGCTGATTTTGCACTTAATTCAACACGGCATTCATTCAAACCAGATTTCGGTAATCAGGTCAAGTCGATCATCAAAACCATGATTTTCTAACAGTACAACAGCAAATAAACTCAAAGAACGAGCCTTTTTTTTTTCTCCACTGAGGAGAAGGAGATCGTGAACGCATATGAGGAGTTCAAGACCATAATATGTATATTTGAATCATTTCTGTCGTAGGAATCTTTTACTCTGTCAGGGAGAGGGATCCTTCTCTGTAAGGTTTCTCACCTTTTTTTATTTATCCCCATCAAAGGGTTTTTCATATTCTGGGGAGTTTTTCCTGCGTTGATGTGAGGGTTTTGGGACAGAGGATGTCTCATGTGTACAGACTCTAAAGCACTCTGAGGCGAATTTGTGATTGTGGGTTATAGAAAATGAAATTAATTGAATAATCATGGCAAAATAAAACACCGCCACCACTGCGAGGGCTAGACAAGAAATATGGCAAAACATTTCAGAGAAGTTAAATGCCTAAGTGTTGGTAAAATATGCCTCAGTACCACAAACAATCAGATTCTATTTCCTGCTGGCAGACGGCTTCATGGAATGTGTCATCCAATAAGATCTTGCCAGCAAAAAAGCATATATTACATATATGGTTGAATCTATCATGTACTATATATGTTCATCTATACCTATGTGAATATGTGTGTAGGCGGATCAGTGTGTATGTATTTTTCATAATCAAAAAGTTGATCAATTGAAGCAGTGAAACTTCCAGAAGTTTATTGAGGGCCAAATAAACCTTTCAAACAGCACGGCATGCAACGGCTTTCCCGATGTTCTCCACATCGCAGAGACTGTTCAAAAATGTAGAAAGTCAATGCTCGGCTGCGCCGTGTGGTGTTCACAGTGTACGGCTCAAGAAGGTCTTCTGCTAAATAAATGATTCCTTGTCTGCAGCACCGATGGCGCTCGTACAAGAAGCCATCGTGATGCGATGACGAATCTTGGCAATCTGGACAAACTCTTTCCCTATAAAACGTTAATCTTAACTAAAATCGCTCCTTTCATCAGTAGGATCTCTGAGGAATGGAGCTGCCATTTTTTTCCGGGGGAATGGAAAGCTTACGTTTGCCTGTTCTCCAGCAGGTTTAAGTTTATGGAAGTGTTGCTATGGTAATTTTGTCGAACTTGCTTCGTGGAACCGAAAAAGCCTGATATATATATATATATATATATCATATTATCCGGCAAACTGCGTTAGCCACGTACAAGGAACGGGCCCTGGTGAAACTCTGCACTGTAATTGGGAAAACCACTTGCTGAATACTGACTCCTGGTCGTTATGAAGTTGAAGCGTTTGCATATAGAATACATGCATTTTCTGCATGTTGAGGCAAACAATAGGGTGAGAGCAGCCTACCTTCGGGGCATGTCACTGATGTAACATCCAAGGCTGGAAGTACACAAGCATAATCTATAATCTATGATGCACACAGATCGACTCTTCGTAACGGACTCGCCTCACTTTGATCTGCAGCTGGGGCTGCTACTTTGTTCTGCAGGTTTGTGTGCGTGGAGACATGGCAAAGGTTTTCCCCAAAGTGCAGATAGACTTCAAAGCAGAAAAAGATAATGATGCATATTTCATGTTTAGAATTATTATTTTAAACCTATCAATGTGTGATGGCAGGTCGGCTCAAAAAACGTGCGCGAAAAAAGTTCTCCCAAAGTCTTTTGACACAAAGTTAGTTTTTCCAACCTTTTCAAAGGTTTAGGTTTAAGGGGTGTACATATAGCGCCTGTCGGGAAACAAGCAGCGCTTCACAGAATAAATGCAGTAAAACTGTGACAAAGATAATATAGAAGATTTTTTGTTAAAAATACATAAATTAGACTTATCTGTTTCATAGGAAAACAGGATGCTGATAAAAGAAAAAACAAGCCAACCAAAAAAAAAAACACTTTCATTAAAGCCATCAATAGATTTTCTCCGACGTCAATGTCTCAATTCTGTTTGCACAACAATATGGTTAATAATTATCTCTCAAAGTGATGTGCTTCTGGACAAACAAAGAAACAGACCAATAACAAAATCAGAGAAAATAAAGAACACTAACATGACATTTGGGGAAGTAGCACAATTAAACTTGATGGTGATAAGCTGACAGAAGAGGGGGTGAAGATAGTTAGTTGTCAACACAACACAAAGTAGCTCAGGACATAAACAAGTTGTGAGTAGTGTTTGTAAAAAGGAATACTATAAAACCCAACCATGAGGATAAGATGGAGTGTCAATCAACTATAAAGCAAAAGATCAGCCTCTGTGTGTCTGTCTGTCCGTATGTGTGTGTGTGTGTGTGTGTGTGTCTCTTTGTGTTCTTCACATATTTCATGAACAGCTCATTAAATCTAATTATTCTATCTCGTGCTAAACAGACGGGGCACTTTGACTGAACGAGCAAACAGCACCCTGTGCGAGGACGGCTGTCCAATGCCACGTGGACTTGAGCGTCTGTCAGAAGCGACGTCACCCATTGGGTGGTGGGCTGCCGTTTGGAAGCCTCGAGTTTGGCGTTTCGTATTTCACCGTGACTTTCTTCAACAAGTGAACAGAATTGACCATTACAGACCAGTCACCATTATATTTGGTCTGCGGAGTGGCACAGATCGGCGGTATTAAAACTCTAGTAGCGGTAGTGACCTGTCAATCACATGGTAGCCCGCCTTACAGCATACCCTAATTAATCGATTAATCTATTTTACTTTAAACGGCATTTACTACACCAATATCATGCTGTATGGAGACTTGAAGCTAGAAATTGAGACCATAAACACATATTTACAATGTTTCCTGAATGAATAAATCAACTAAATACTGTTATTTTATACATATAATCAAACTAGCATTTGCAACCAGAGGAAATGCCAACTTCTTGCTATTTGAAAGAATGCCAGTTTAGGACACTTTCACATGGGCTTCACGCCTCAGAACCGGAGGTTGCCACCTGGTTGCCCACATCAGGGCTACAGGCTAGTTGACCGCGTCGGCTTCTGGATGCTGGGTAGACAAACTAATATTTTCATATATAGCACTTCACAAGCCAACTTGAGGCTAGTTATTGGATTTCCACTGAGGAGTAGAAGTTCTGCTGTTCATCAATTTTATTAAACGGCATCGATCCTCCTTTTGTTGACATTAGGATCACTGACATCATCGTACAGAGCAAATAACAAAAAAACCGACTGCTGAGTAGCTACACCTCACCGGTTACAGAAAGCACAACCAAAGTTCCGTTCTGCAGCTCATCCGTTGGTTTGTCCAATAAGAGGATTCGACACTCGTACAAGCCCCCATCCTCCAGCTGCAGGTTCTCCAGCCTCAGGTCGGTCACCCGTACCAGGGACACCCGGCCTGCAGAAACACAGTGTAGGTAGAAAGGTGAGGGTGTGAGAGGGCGTGAGAGGGCGCGCCATGCATGTTGCTGGTGCTGACTTCACATCTCCCAGGTCTGCGCCGTGTGAAGCGTTGTTGTGCTGGAGAAGAAAGACGAGTCCTCAAGCAATGTCGGAAAGCGTGTCGCACGAAGCGCGCACACACACAAACACACACACACGCACACAAACGTAAGTAACTGGGATCTCCTGGTTGCTAGGTAACAGTTCCCTTGAGCCCGTGGCGCAGCTCTGGACGATCACTCTATATCTTTTCCAGTCGGCAGCCCACATCCTCCTGGTGTCCTTTTTTTAGTTTTCACACTTTATCAGGCGGACAATTGTGCAGTGGCCTAACAGGGTAGAACGGCGAGGCTGAGGTGAAACTGTCAATTAAATCATCATTGAGGACACACACAGGCTTTCTCTCCGCACCATCTCCGGTATGAAAATGTGGAAACGGCAAACACACTGCAGCAGGGAGGCCAAAGGGCCATCGGATCGACTGTGAGCTGATGGTAATTATTAACAGAGGCTGCAATACCCTGAGGGAGCAGCCCTGACAGTAAAAAGAACCAGGAAGCTGCGGGTTAGGTATGTGGTCAGCGATAACACACCTTATTTACTTTTCCAAGCAGCCAAAGGGGGCTGAATGCACATGGAGGGTGGAGGGGTGAATGGAGGGTGAGCAGGGAGGGTTAAAGTGGAGCAAAACACACCTCCGCAAACACTCTGTGGATTTGAGCATTTACAAAATCCTATCCTTTGACCCCTGGCAGTTTTGTTTTTTTCCGCCTCTGTGGTGTTTACTGTCTCGGCGGGATGTAGGTCAGTGTCGGCCCGGCCGCGAAGGGTTGTGCTGGGGCAGGAAACGTGACGTCGTCAGACCGAAGGGAAGGGCGGAGCGAAAACACGACGCCACTGCCGGATGAAAAATGCATGATCGGAAAAAAAGATTTGAATGCGAGGTAAATTGAGTGTGAGAAGGAGAGCAGAGAAAGAAAGAACCATTACGACTCCCAAGTCTGTCCCTTGTGTTTGTGTTTGTCCTGTGCACGACTGAGAGTGTAGAAACAAGCTTAACACACGTTTTAGTCAGTTCTCAGTGTGCGAACAAACAGTGTAGTCAACTTCGGTAAATTTAGCTTGGAATCGTTGACGTAAATAAAACATTTCTTTTTTCTACTTCCAGAAGTAAAACAAACTCCTAGCAACCAAAGAACCTTCATGTCACACGTCCTCGTGAAAATTCATATCCAATATCGGTTGTAATGTGTAGGCACAACACTGAATAGTATATTTGGAACTAGCGTTTGTTTATTAAGTACTAAATTAAAGAAAACGCCTCTGCTAGAACATTGCAATAACATTATTGCTCTTATGCAACTGAGGGGGGAAAAAAAACTCCTCCTACATGCAACTTGGAAAAGGGCTTCAAAATCGTGCCAATAAGGAAGAGTCACTCCACAGATGATGACGCAGGTAACCAAATAAGAGCGAAAGCCACACTGTCAACAGGTAGAGGCCCCGACCCCCCCACTGCTAACAACACTCCTCCGTCTCATGTTCTCTTCAACTCAAATTCTGTCAAAAATGATCCTCTATTGGCTCAATTCATCCACAACCACATGAATACAGTACAAACACAGACACACAATTGCCCGATGTATTCATTTGACAATGTGTCTCCACCTTAAGCTCGTCCCTCCCCCCTCTGTCCAAATGCATTGTCCCTTAATAGGCTCTCAGGTGACATAGCAACATCAAACCCTTTAACCTCTTTAAAATGAAGAAGCTCGTCAACAGGCTCTGCTGGTTTCAGAACAGATCAAACGTGGCTTTCGTCATCTTTGTGAAGGGAATCGCTTTTTAAAAGGAGATTTGAAAAGTTTTTGTTTTCTTTGCCTTTGAAAAACATGTTTTTGCAACCGTTTAGCCTTTTAGTAATGTCATACCCGTAAAAAGGTTTAGCGGTTATGTGCTACGTTCATTTTTTTCACACCTTTGGTTTTTTTATCACCTTCCTTATGAAAAAGAAGCAGATGGTACTTTGAGCCACCCAATGTCTTGTCAGTGTCAACTGTTCTTGAGAAATAATAACATGTTTTTGGTGCTTCACAAAAGCTTTCTAAGACAAACTCCACTAAATGACGAAAGGAAAAAGGCTTTTGTTCTCATTTTTATTCAGTGTGAAGGGTAAACCACAGATATGGATTTTCTTTCTCACAAAATGGATATGTAACATTTTGAAAATGGAAGTTTTAAACGGCAAGTCGATGTGTCTCGTTCTGTTCGGATAGCACTCCGAAGGAAAACGGATCTAAATCTGATGGCAGTCGGTGCTGCAAAGGCTCTCATGTCCCTGGGGATGATATTCACGGGGCAGTTTGCCCAAATCGTCTCTGAAGGATGTCGTCAGCGCTTGGCAAGCTGCGTCAAGGCATTTAGGGTTTGAAATAGAGGCAGATAAGGTTTCACTCCTGGCTGCTTGTTGCTTTATGGAGCGTGGAGGCAGGGGGGTGGAGGTGGGTGCAGTTTAAATCAAGAGAGGAGTGATCCCTGCCCAAAAACCTTTGTCCACTGCGACGTTTACTGTGTGCAATGTGTTCAGATACTCACGCAAGGCATGTCATCAAGATGTAGCTAACGTTAGCTAAGTCTATGTCAACAAAGCTCCTGGGTAACTTAACTTAGATATACCAGAAAATATTAAAACCATCACTCACCCTGTTCGCAATTCACTGAATCTCACGCTCCCTTCTGACACGCACACCTGTTCGCAGTTCACTGAATGTGTAACCCACCCTCCCCCCAAAAAACTCATCGGATCTACACGATTCACGTAGGTCACCTATTTTGGTTTCAAAACGGCGAATCTCAGCGAAAGGTGAGGGATTTTCATGCCTGCACACAGTCTGCTCGTGCTGATTATGCGATGGAGCTTGAGAACGTGGCATTTATACAGCTGTGTTTACTCTTCACGCAGTCAGCAGCTGCACGGGTGCTGAGGGACGACTTTCCCTAATCGCTAATCCTTTGATCGTTACTGCTCTTTTACAATAAATACCTTTTTAAACCCGTTTAGCTCTCAACATGATCGGGGGAGCCATCTAAAGTATCTCACACTTCAGGAGCAGCACGCGCGGTAAAAGGCGAAGCATGCGGTCAGGCGAGGCGGCGTGCCGTTAAAGAGGTTGGATTCCATCCCTTGGAAAACGGCTGGGAAGACGGAGAGCCTCGGCAGAGTGAATCGCTCGGATAACTTGGGTGGCAGGGGGACTCACAACGGCCAAACAACAAGGGACGAGTCAAACGGTCGCCGGACACCTGAGAACGTCCACGTCCCGAGGGGGTGAAATCCACTCTGCTCCGTCCGCCTCTAAATTGTTAGTTTCCCATGCTGCACCTGTTGCTCCCACACCAGCCAGTACCTGTGAGAAAGTCCGAGCCCAGCATCAGATTGGACAATGCATCTTTTTCACCCTTTTGTGTGAGTAAGGAACAGCTTTCCGTTTGTTACCTGAGAGGCCGGTTATTAGCCTTCCTGTCCGATAAAGAAAAGGGGCTTTTAAGCGCATTTACAGGCCTAAGGGTACATTTACTCTTTTTTTTTTAACCACAAGCATATTGCCCTACTTTTTTTTAACTCAAATCCAGCGTAAAAGTGTGACATCATTGTACCTTTTTAGGGATCGTCCTCGCAGTCTGTGACAAAAGTCTAGTGTATTTTACGAGCAGCGGGCTGAAATTAAAGCTTGCTCGCGCTCATCAGGCGAGGTTAACTCTGACTTTACTGCAGTGTAAATGTCTGCAGAGTATGTCCTGCTTGGGATGGGTTCAGGAGTGCCATTGAACTCGATTGAGAAAGGCCTCGGCTCAGCTGAAAGCAGCTTCTGATCTTTTGACAAGCACATAACTTTATGGAATAATTACTGTTATTTACAGTCATTTTAGAACTGAAGAATCTCTCTGACCAAAGAATTTTCTACATATCACAAATAAAGTGAGGCAATGTTCCGTACTTTTAGTCATTGTCAACAGATCCCAAAACCAACAATGAATTGAAACTGATATGTATTTTCTATTTAACCAACGCCTGGTGACGACTAATGACCACCCTAAATTTTGTTTTTATCATGAGCAACAGTAAAAAAGTCGAGAAGATCCAGATATTAATTGTGTAGCATCTCTAATTCACAAGATACTTGGGCTGGAAAATGGGCTTTTTGCTAAGTAATTCCAACTCATTCCACACATGCTTTGGTGACATTTTTAAAATCCATTAAAAAGAGGCACTGCATGTTTAATGTTGTTACAATTGGAATTTCAGGAGTTGGATCTCCTCTAGACTGTTTTTAACTGCACAGCATATATTTATAATGTCTCATTTAATAGCAGGTAAGTAGGGTTTATAGAGTTACGTCTTACTCTTTATTCTTACATGAAACATTGCTTGTTGATGTTGACTATCAACCACTATCCAACCTTCTGAAAAGGGTTAGGTAAGTGGTAGTTTGCGGTCTGCTTTCTGCTCCCACCTGAACATTTCCCTCTTTGGAGTGGTATCATCATGCCTGCTGGGGCACTTTATTTCTCAAACTGTGAGAACCCATACATGGTGCTCCAGCAGAAATTCAAATAGCCTTTGGAAGGTCATTATACGTTGAATTTCTCTTCAGGCCGCTCTTTGGAAAATAGAAACTACTCTGACAAAAGTAAGATCAGAGCCACCCACACATGCTTTCCTTTTTGTCCACAGCGGTCCCATTGTTGGTGACTTTAAAGACTAACAAAAGCTACACAAAGGTATTCCTGGTTCCCCCATGGACCCTCTTTGTTCTTGGTGCAGAAAGTGCACAACACATGATGATGATGATGCATGGCAAGAGTCTTCGCTCCTTTAAAAGTTGCTCCTGTCGTGTCCAAGAAGCGGTGCTATGATGTCTCGTGATTTCCTGTTTTATTTTTCAGGTAACTTGCTCCTTCCCCCTGTGTGCCGGTCCGGTTGTCCGCCCTGCCCCAGATTGTTTCCACCTGTGCCCTTACCCTGTGTGTGTACATATTGTCTGCTTCTCCCTTCGTCCTGTGCCAGTTGAACATCGTGTCAGGAGTTGTGCATTTGGGAGTTGTGCATTTGGGTTCAGGGCCATTGTTCGGTCGTGACAGATTACTCTGAAGCTGTTTTGAAAGGCCACACAGGAAGGTATTGAATGTACTGTGAAACTCAAATTTTGGGTTCGTTCGTTCACTTTAAGAAACTGGGACTGAAGCATGCCGTCCTCATTCAAACTATTTCCATATTCCCCTTTGGTGAGGTAACCGCGATTGAGTGCAGATTTCATCTGATTCACTCTCATTTTCTGTTCTGCAATTTAAAATCTAAGATGAAAACATAATTAAGCACACCTTTTGGTTTTACACACAGGGTGCAATAACACATCAAGATTCCCAATGATATATGGCCTGACAATGCATATATGGTGTTATTAAGACCAGCTGATCTGATTGTCCATTGAGCCCTGCCCTTCCCAGGCCGAAGACGATGGCCCCCAGCTGCATTCTTGTAATCGCAAGCCACCCACAGCAGGTATGTGGCCTTTTCTACTCTGTAGTCTGTGCTTGATTCATAAATATGACTTGCAGGAAAACACCGTCCAATATCTACAGCAATTTTAGTTCTTTATTTGTTGTTTCTTTTAGATTTAATAATAACATATTGGCTAATATTTTTTCCCAAATAATTTAAAAATCATTGTGTGTTATACAATGATTTTTAAACCTGAGGTTATACAAGGTAACGTATGTTAGTGGGATCTTGTATGTAAATAACTTCAGGTAGATCTTTGGCATTGCTGGTAATCTTCGGTATTGCCAACCTTTATAGGTTATTATCGAAATTTTCTAATGATATTGGAAATTCCGAGGTTTCAATAAGGCGTTGAAATCCCACTTACCCCATGACATGGACACTACACTCAGTAACTAAGTAAACCAAACACAAGAACATATAATACAAAAGAAGATAACCATCATTATTTATAGAAGCTAAAGAGACACACACAATTAAAGCTCGCTGCACTTACTTAAAGCACTTTGTAGTTTGGCTTTCTTTTAGAAATTATGCTTTCTGGATTCTTGCTGTTCTTGTCTGCCGGTTACCCTCTTGGTCAAATGTACTTACTGTAAGTTGCCTCGGATAAAATAAAATCCTTTTATAGGAACGCTTACCCTCATATTGTGGGTGGAGGCGAGGCGTGTAGGATCCGAATTTGATCAAGACGGGGATATCGAGTCCCCGCCGGACCCATTCAACCACATGCAGGGAGGCGGGGGTCACACCGGTCGCCTCTGAGGGAGGAAAACTACAGTCCAACTCCACCACACCTGCGACCCGTCCACGCACATCCGGCCTCGCTCCTCCTTTGGTCGCTGTGGGGTTTGTCAGAAGCAAAGGGAGAAACAACTTTAAGTCACTATAGTACCATATGTGGTGGGATTATTACTGACAGCGATGTGTGTGTGTGTGTGTGTGTGTTGTGCGAAGAGTAAGCTCAAAAGATACAAAACCATCCATCTTATCAAATAAGGGAGATACTTACCAAAAAGGCAAAGAAGCGCAACCACTGTGGAAGACTTCAAGTATGATCTCGCTGACCCCATATCTGTCACTCAGGCAACCTGCAGCATGTTCAATCTGTTGGAAAAAGAGACAATTGTCACAATCACATTACTTCCTTGGCTGTGAGCAAGAGGGTAGCCATCTGTGACAGATTTTCAAATTCAAACGGCTTCAGCAGAACTGCCACTTCCGTCATCATTTTACAGACAGCAGGATCGGAGCGCTCACATTTTTATACAGCTTTCAAATAACTGGAATTTATCCCATATCATTACACAAATGGACAGAGCAGCCGTCTGCTGCCAGAACCCCCCCCCCCCTCTCCCCCTCCCCCGGCCCTATATCCTTTTCTGGAAGTAAATGTCATGAATGCCACATAAATCTCTTTTGAGAGTCGCGTGTGGAGTGGCATCTAAGTGTTTTATTTAGAGCACATCAATAAAGACATTTGGTCAAGAGCACGGCACTCAAGGACGGAGATAAGTTGAGGTGATAGGAGCGGCACGAGGAAGTGCAACCTAGTGCCTAGAAAACCACACCTGCCTCAGTCTATATCAAAGGAAAATCCACATGAAGGGTCAGAGACACACACACACACACACACACACACACACACACACTGGGTATCAATCATTTTTCCTATGGTAGAAGCTACCACCATGAAATGAATACATGAATAAGTAAACGCCACGCACGTTGTTGGACCATCTTCTATGCTGCAGGCCGTATACAAACAGGTCGCAGCTCGTTGCTGGGTCGGATTCGACGGGAAATGCGTATCAACTCTTATAGCCACAGACCACTGCGGCCTCGCCCGCTTCAACCCACTCACATCCACAGCAACATCCCATTATGCCGAGATAACACAAGCCAAGCGCAACCATGCAGAGGGCAAAGGTTTCACACACTCGTGGCCAACAGGAAGAATTGTGCCGTGCAGACGCTAGTTGTCTGATCCACGTGGTCGGATGTGGTTCGTTTACTCTGGTCCAGTGGTCAAAGTAGCTTTCTCGCTGCGGTAGTAGTGGCGAGTACTGGATGACGCCGAATGCAACTCGACTGTTCACAACAATTAGCTACGCTAAAAAATCAACACAATTTAAGCAACAGCTGTAGCGAAGGTGTACATTTTTTAGGCCAACTCTGAAAGTTTCGTAAATGGGGAATAAACAACATTTAAATATACCCGCCTGCACATATTTCACAGGAAAACTATTCACAGCAGCATTGCAAATTGGGAAAGACGATTGAGCCAAAGCTGTCTGTTTGAGTCAACCTGTGTTATGAGTTATGTCGCTGCGGTTCCGTTTAGCAAAATGCTCTAAGTGAATGTGAGTTCCCTCAGGGATTACAGTGTAGTACAGTATATATTTAGGAGCGGTTTGCCTTCATCGGGATGGAAAGGAGTAATCAAGCTTGAGGTTTTCACACCATGTAGCCTCCGTGTTGTTGTAAATAACTGTTCTTAATAGCAGTGCTTTAGTAAATGAAACTGAATAACTCAACATGTAATATTTCCGATGCAAACGGTTTAATTACTGTTTGTGTTATTGAATGACAACTTTAGTTTTTTGATGCAAAGCACAACAGCAGGGAAGAAGTGCATTTTTGGCACCAGCTCCAATAACAGCTCGTGAAAAAAGAAGAACTGTTGGTTGGGAGTCCTCTCATTAAATTGGGAGTTACAGATTGATTGACAGCCCTGGCTTCACAATTTCCTGCTTTGAAAGGAAATATAATTAATTTATTGAATGCCAATTGCCAATAGTGGAATGTCAACAGCAGCACACCGAGTACAATGCAATACAGCTTAAATGTGTACCAAAAAATCCAAATTTAAAAGCAGTATAATTGATTTCAAACTTCAGACTTGATGCACTACAGGCAACATTTAGCAACAATAACATCACCTCAATCAACACATCATTGAAATGCAATACGCCGTTTCATACTTTATAAGTGCAGCAGTGTATATCGTATGTTTGTATTTGGAAATGCATTTACCATTTATTTGTTACACAGTGTAGCTTTTTGTGAACTTTCTTGAGCATTGTTTCGACGCGTCAGGTATGTTTTCAAAAAGTCCATTATAAATACATTTGTATGGTCATATGATGATGCCGTTGCCTTCCGCTGTGAATTCTCTACACTTCCTGAGTGTGAACAGCTAACACACAACCTCCCAGCGGGCCGTATCTGCCTTCCCCAACCACAATACGGGTCTTTTTTCATTTCGGGGCTGGGTCAACGTCTCAAACGGTGGAAAACAATTACGCAGGCTGTCAACACCTGCAGTGCCTTGTGCCAACACACTCCCATGCTTCAGCAAACAGTGTTGCATACACAGATTCCCCACAAATCAAAGTGAAAGTTAAAATAAATAAGGCCCCAATCTGCTGAATGCCATCTATTCCACAGACTTCCTCTGCCCTTCATGCAAAGCAGCACAACACACGGCTCATCCAGAACATTTGAATTAGGCAGGCGAGTCCTTGCGGAGACGTTTTCGACATTATGATTGTGTTGTTCGTCAACAGCTCGCGGTGGGCGATGATGGGAGAGGAGGACACACGTGTCTGGCACTTGATGAACACGTGCTCAGCATCTTCTCCTCGCTCTTCATCGACTTACTCTTTCAGAGTGGAAGAGTGGCGATGACAGGGATCGATAATGGCGTTTGTGGTGTAACTGATTAAAAGAAATATAACTAGACACATTGGCTCTCTATTTTGCCACCGAATACAGAAAAAAAGAGTTATTAGTTGCTCTGACAAGGTAAAGACTAATTTGTGGGTCTGGCAAAATAACAAGGCAATACAGTGGAACAGTGATGGAAAATAATTAAGATAGATTTTTGAGAAAAAGGGAGCAGGGAAAGTGTGGCAAACACAGCCAGAAGAAATAAAAAGCTGCAGGAAATGTGTCATTAAATCTGAGTCAAGCAGTCATCGAGCTGCCTAACAACGGCCTGCACAGGTGAAATGCTCAGCCATGGCAACGCGGTAGGTCTCTAGAAGTCTCCCCGTGGACTCATTTTTCCTCCCTCTAACATCGCACACAAACACAGTGACAGCACAGCACTCCGGAAAATGTTTAAAGCTCTTATAAATGAGCCAGTGGCTCACAAAGCAAAGTGTCTTGTCTGGCGCAGATCCATCAGCCGACAGAAATAGAAATTCCAGTGACAGGCGTGATGTTGAAAGTCTCCGTTGTTTCCATTTTAATCTGCGCTGGGAGAGAAACGGGGGACCAGCTGATTAATCGCGAGCAGGGCACACTAACAGGTTTGTCAACAGTTCTGCCTCGTCTTTCCCCAACACACTTGAAGCCGGGAGATAATGGGACTCCTGCACATTGGTTTTCTGATCAAATTCCATTTCATCGGCGTGGATCTTTAGTTTGTGTCTCTGCTCAAAACCCGTCCTTTATAAGGTGCTTGTTGCCGATGTAGACGGCTACAGGTCCTGTGTCCCATGATGGTTAAGATGGTTTCAAGGCTGTTTGGCTTCATCCGATCACCAAAAAAAACCACTAGGGATGAGAGTTTCTCTTTTAGTTTAAAAAAGAAATAAAAAAAAACATTCCTCCAAATATTCAATAGAGTTACGTTGAAAAAGGGAAAGGATTCAAAGTGATGCAGCAGAAGCTGAGATGCCGTGCTTTTCATCTACATCCTTTCATCTGACGTCAAACTTACCCATAATGCAATGCAACTGCTGGTAATTTGGTCAGAAACACAGGTGTGTAAGCAGGGATGGTCTTATAATTTCTATTCTTACTCCAATACTATATACTAGTATTCAGCCCACCTGAGTCAAGTCACATCACTTGAGGCAATATATCAGAATTCATGCAGCACAAAAGCACAAAAACACGGTACACTAATGTCCCCCTTCTCTTTAACTCCCTACAGAGATAAGATTTGAGAACGCATGTGCCAAGTGACATGTGGCATCGTGCATACATCTAACCTCAACACCCTTTTTGAATCACCATCATCTTATTGCGTACCAAATTCCTGCGTAGCACTGCTGTTAATCAGCGCATAAATGATTTATATTATTGATGTGCAGCTTCATTTAGTATATCTGACCAATAAAATGTAAAACCTGTGCACTTTAATTGTATTTTACATTCTAGTGGTAATTGAGTCGTGAATTATATGTCCAATGCCATCCCTGCACCACCCACCATGACGAATTCCTCGTATGTCCACCATAGTGGGCAAATGTTTCTGAGTGTGATTCTACACCGAACCCTTTGGTAGGAATACTTTACAATCGTATATGAACTTTGGATTTTATATCTGGCTCGTTAAAGATGGGACGAGTCATAAAAGCATTACGTCAGTGAGAAGGTGGCTTCCAATTTTGATACACAGGAATAAAAGAGAAGTAAAGCTAAGACATGAAGGCAGTTTAATATCTGACAGCTTTATGTGCCTGATCAGCTAAAAACATTATCTACACATCTTTAAAAGGGAATTCAGCTATGCAAAGACTTAAAAAGTGCTGATAAAGACTATGACACATGACCTGGAATCTTAATTTAATGTCCAGCATTTTCAAATAATCTAATTTTGCAACACACACACAGTTCTTCTGGACACGGTGAGAATATTTCTGTGGATCTGTTCTCCCACCGGCTGCCTGGAGCCCTGTCAGCTGACATGCTGAGAATACTCTTGTCAGATTGCTAAGTGCCAGACGCCTCTCATATCTGAAAATAAAACGCTGCTCGTAATAAATGTTATTGGCATTAATTTTCTTCAGCGCTGTAGTTTTCTCTCCACATCGTGCTACATCATTTTGTCTGCCCCCTGTGAGTGTGCATTTTGACTTCAAATTCTAACAGAAGCTTCCCATCACAAATAGGCACAATCCATGTGTCCTGGTTTGATGTGCACTTTAGAGAAAACAGGACCGACTGAAAAATAGAGAGACTTCTGCTCGTGTATCTCTCCTGTGAATCAGACAGCAGATCCAGACAAAAGACACAATCTGTAATCTGTGAAATATACTACACAGCAGAGGAAGGACTTTGGGGTTTGAAAGCAAAGGTGGAGCAATGTCCCAGTGTTGTCAACTTCAAGTAGGTTACATAAAAGTCTAAAGTCCATATTCCACTCAAATTCAAATTCAACATGGACAATCAAGTTCCAAGTCAAGACAAACCAGTATAAGTCATGACCAAATCAAGACAGACAAGGTCCAACAGTACAAAAAAAAGTAGTTCTTTAAGACCAAACATGTTAATCAAACTATTAATAACACCTCTTTGCAATTATGTGTAATGTAATAAAGCGGATGTTTTGCTTTTAGCCATCTGGTTTTTGTCGACAGCTGCAGCTGAGTCTTTACATCTCCGTCTGATAATCGGATGTATCATCTGCTGTCGGTCTCTTCACTGACACGTCCGCCTCCCCCTAAAGATGCGCAGACGAGGTTGGCTGCCGTCAAATGGAATCAAAGCATATCGGCTCGCCGGAAAACGAAGAGCTTTTACAGCGTCATTTTCTTTCTCTTGGAGAGGACATAAAAATCGTTCCAAATCATAAGTCAAAGTTATGCTGAGTTGTGTCCACTCCTTAAAAGTTTCCATTTCCAAGACAGGAGCCAAGCATGACAGCGCAAAAAGAAAGCCGAAACTCTATTTTATTAAGATGGTGTATATCAAGTAATATCTTTTCAAGCAACTTGTTGCAGAGCCTTTTAGCAAAGCAGAAATAATCCCCATTTTTCCAGTCAGCTGAGTGTGTCCAATGTGAACACTATTTCTGCAAACATTATAGAGTAATTGTATTTCACAAGAGAGGTTATCTTTGCCGTACTCGTTGGTTTGAGATGGGTGGGGCTTACTAAGAAAAGGGGGATGACACATACATGCAAACCAATCGGCATTTTGGCAACATTTGAATCAAAGCCTGCTCAAAGCAGACGTACACAGCACCCATCGGAGAGGCCACTGTAAATGATGATTTTTTTTTTCTAGCTTAGTCGAGACTGGCAGTGTTGTAAGGAACTTTGTGATCCTTTAGAGACGTCAAGGGCCTTGAAAAGCCAATCACATTTTTAATTAGCTTTTCCCAATGTCAGTTTCCATTCATGTCATTACAGTTTAACAAAGACTCTGGACATGGATCAACAAAGCAATTTATTCTAATCTTTATAAATGATATTCTGAACTAACACTGACTCGTCCCAGGGACGCAGCATGCAAAAACACTGGCATGGACTCGAGAGCCTTGCTGGTAGTAATTTGCATGGACTTCAGACTGCTTGAAGTGCCACATATGAAGTGTTCTCCGGCTCTACATAATTCAGGTGGTGGTTGTCAGTAGTTCTCCTTCACAATAAAGTCATTTAAAGTCTTTCCCTCTCAGTTGATGAGAACCTTCTGGGATATGTAATATTATGGGAGACCGCACCCATTTGGCACCTGAACTGGCTCCATGGAACCGGAGATGGAATTTGAGATGATTAAATTAACCTTTTTGGGGGGTAAAGTTAGAAGAATATTTCTCTCCCAATCTGTGAAATTAAGAAACTCCCAGACTCGGCTCCTTTTTTTGAACCACTGAACTGAATGAAATTCGAGGAAATGACGTGTCATTTTCCACTTTTCATTCAGAGCCAATTGAATGTATTAATCGAGCCTGAATTTGGGGCAGGATTTCTGAAACCAGACTTTCATACAAGCACTTTCCTGAGCATGATTAACCAGGTTATAACCGCTGAGACGCGTATTCCAAATGTAACACAATTAACCCCATAAAAACTCCATTCCCACGTTTAAATGCGTAACACTGCTCAGAGGACTGAGAGGAAACCTGAACGGGCTCAGATCGTTTTTCTTTCTTTTCAAAGCAGCCGGAAGAGAGAAACACTTTCGGACTCATTAAGAACCTTTTTTTTTAATTTAGTTATATAAATCCTACCTGTTGGTCGGTTCCTCGCGGAGAGACTTCCTGCTTATTCGCTCATGGAGCGCATCCTCGGTCTGCTCCTGTCGGTCCGACCCGCGGGGCCTCCGGACGGGGAGCCGTCACTCGCAAAGCACCGGGAACACGAGCCGCTTTTCTGTGCAGACCACCGGGCAACAGGTGTTCATTTCACGTACAGGTGACACTGAGGCACCGACCCGCTGCGCCGCTCCCTGTTACCCCCCCCCCCCCCACCACCACCCCTCCCGTCCGGTTCGTCCCTCCTCTGGCTGCTGCCGCGGGGCCCTTGTTGTGTAAGCCCCCTTTAATGTTTAAAGCCGGTGGGGATTAAAATTTAAGAGTTTTGTTTGTGCAGACGCAGAGCGGAAAGGCGATTTTCTAAAAATGATTAGCCCTTAATCCCCCCTGATGGCACCCTGTTGAGTGGTAACCACAAGGGGGGGTCCTTTACCTGGTGATGGCGGCCGAACCAGGAGAAGAGAATGTGGTCCCTGAGGGGCCCAGGAGCGGGAATAAACACGCATGTTACTGGTTTTATTCACCATAACCTGCAGCTGGGAGCGCTGTGTGTTTACTGCGGATTCATCAGTTTAAACGATGTCAACCATTAAAAAGACTGCATTTCTTCTCTGAACAACAAAACAAACAAATAAAGAAACCGATTTGTTTGCTTTCCTTACCTCCTATTCTATATTTAGGTTTTTCCATAAGTTAAGAAGTTTGAGATCTATTTTTCTAGTTTTTGCTTTTGCACTTGTGGGGTGTGTTTGTGCGTTCTGTAGAGTGCCTGTTATTGCCACTCGGCTGGGCAGGTGGACTCCGTCTGAGTGCAGATGGATTTCCTATGACAGACCGTCACATGCATCATCAGTGCAAACATAAAGGGCAGCGCGTTACTGCATACACGTTTACACCTAGCCGCCCGGCTTCTGTGCTTCTATCCACTGAACTGGAAAAGATTTCTTGTGAGTCGGAGCTTTCTGTGTTTTGAGTTCAGTTTGCAGTTTATGATCTTTGATTTGTTTGTTGTTGTGTGTGTGGATGGCGCTTCTATCCCAGACCGTAGTCGATAGAGACGGGATGCTCGGGGTTATTGATGTGTGAAACCCCCGCCTCAATGTTCCTACCTTCCTTGTTCCGTCAATGCTTTAAAAACAATGTATTTCAAAACTTCAGAAATGCAATCATGAATCACAGGAACAAGTCATTCAGATTGTACATCAGATTTCTACTTTTATTTATATATTTCCTTTTAAGCAAATGCACGTAAAAAATACATCCTTATCTGATATTCAAAAACAAATGAATATGCACAGACAGCAATACTTAACGTAGTAACACAGTTCAGTATAAAACAGACTGAAGCGTTCAATCTTTGGATAGTACTGCAAATATAATACATCAGGAGGAATACAGCCCCCCCGCCAGCTTTACATTAAATCCCGTAGGCTACGAGCTAATAAATATTTGTTTAAGATGCACAAAGCACCTGTTGTCCAGCCCTTGGACTTTCTAGGACTAGTAAGTCAAAGGCATCCGTGTGGATCTGTCCTAAAATGTCTCATCAGTTTTAGGAGCAGTTTTCCAGAGCATTGAATAAACAACAAATAATGACATCAAAAATCAACTAAACTTCACATCACTGTTCTCCACAGCAGAACAGTGATGTGAAGTTTTGCCCCCTTTGCTACATTGATTCAGAGTAAAACAGCAGGGAACAGTCTCCGGCTACACAGTGACTCTCCACCAATCAGCAGCTGGCATTCGGCTCAGTCGCCGAAATCGGGGATGTCATCGTAGGAGTAACCCCGGTAACCCTTCGCGGCGTAGTAGGCGATTCTCAAATGGTAAAACCCGGGAAGGAAAACGAGCACTCCTATGATGATGACGGGAATGGTGCGGTCCGGGTGCTGAGAACATACCAAAGAAGAGCAGGAGATGAGAGTCTGTGGCGGGGGGAAGGAAGGGGGGGGGGGGGTATACATTCCTTTTGTGTGTAAAAGCTTGCGAAGAACTAATCTACTTTGAGTGTGAATCAAACTCTTGTTTATTCACAATGAAACACGGGGAGGAAAGAAGCACCGCGTCGGGCTTTCATTTCCACGTCGCCTGTCAGCACAACTCACACGCGCGTTCTGAATGGGGGAAAAGGGCGGCGCGGACGTGATGACTTCATCCTGTCGGAGATCTGGTTTCAGGCAAATCATTAGTCATCTCACACATACGAGGCGGGGGCGGTTTACCACCCGGAGGCATCGGCACAGGTGGCACATTTCTCCAGCAGATGGCAGTCTTGTGCGCTGAGTTGATGCGGCCCTTTCAGAGAACCACGACCCCCCCCCCCCCCTGTGGGTCTCTTCTTATCGAGGGGAATTGTTTTAGTAGTCTGATTAAAGCCATGGTAATATTTATATATATATAAATATCGTTTATGTTGTTTTTTTCTGAGCCTTCAACGGTATCTCATTTTATGCTCAGTTGCCAAGGAGACGGCTCTCACTCTAGCTCGTCAGTAGACCTTGTGTTGGGTTTATTCTTTTTTTTTTCTCCCCCCAATGGAAAATAACCTCAAAATGGAATAACCTTTTTCCATTTTGGTTAACTGCTTCTTGAGTTCAGCTTTCTGTTTCTTCATTAGCGTCATTTAAGTAAAGCCAAAGGTTCTGTGTTCCAACACGCCTTTCAGTTGACGGTGCTCCTTGCTGAATACCTTGATGTGGATCCAGTCCACCAAAACACACAAAAAAAAACACACACGCAAGCTCCCTTTCGACAACCCAATTAAAAAAAAAGAAAATTAAACAACATTCTTAAATCCCCAAACTGCTGCAGCGCTCTGCACTAGAAGCCGCCTGCATCCCGCTCTTCCTCTGCCCACAGCTTCAACCTGGTGTCATTTGTAGTATTAGATATGCTATTTCAACTCGCGTGGGCTAATTGGCACGAAGGCGAAGTGCTCTGATGCTGCCTTCACGGCACATCCAATTCTCTACAAATGCAATCTGCAAACTGGGGAAGGAAAAACAAAACAACACACGCGCACACATTCACATTAACCGCCCACTGATAATTACAAATACAATATGCGCCAGAGTAGAGTCCTGATGTCAGGAAGCAGAGAACGCAGCAGGGGATCTGCCGAAGTTGGCTAAAAAGTATCAAAATCTCTATGTGCAAACACGAGGCCATGAGCGCGGCAGCAAACTGGCGGCATGCAATTTCAGGACAACGGTTCAACACCAGCTATTTAAAAACAAGATTAACTCGACGCGAGTGTTTTAATTACTGCATGGGTTGACGTTGTGGAGGACGTGCTGGAGATTTAGATGTGCTTAAACTTGGGCCAGCTATCACAGAGATACTTTTCACAGTAAGGACTGAAATGTTTTCATACTGTAGCATCAAACTGTCACGAACCCAAAGCTGGCTTTAAATGTCTGAGAAGATTAGCTGCCTTGTTTACTTAGTTTAAATCATAATCTTGCAGATATTAGGACGCCTGCTTCTGTTCGGGCCGCATTCAGCCTTCGATCATCACTTGCAGAAAGACATGGTAATATTACATAGAGATTCAAACATAGAAAGCCAGGTATTATTGTTTATTATTATTGTTACAAACTATAACAACTGTAAATAAGCTGATTTTAACTATAATAGGTTATATTATTTGGTATTTTCTGTTATTTATAGCTGTGCACTGATGGTTGGTGGGTAACATTTCTGCTAAAGCTGTCTCTCTTTATTTCTGAATACCTTAGAATAAGTTCTCATTGGCTCTAAATCCAACACATTGCTGGCAAAACTTTCTGTCCGTGTCTGTGTGAGCCTGATAAGCTGTCACTAAGGTGCACTAGTGCCCGTCACAAAAAGACCTCGGAAAGCGTAAATGAAAGAGCTTCTTGTTCGCACATAGGACTAGATGTAGAAATAGATAACAGACAGGAGTCGGCCAGCTCAGACATCTCAGTCAGGAATGGATTTTCAGGAGAACGAGCCTGAAGGGGTATTTACCGACAAGTTTTAGGGGATCCCCCCCAAAAAAGGGAAAAAGTGACAAGCCTCACAATGGGCTTTTTGTCAATAGAACAAATCTTTCAATCAAAAAAAAAAAAAAAAACACATTTTAGCTGCTGGCCAACTGTACTGAGAAGACACCCGACGATGTAATTTGGCCAACTAAAACCGATTTTGGCTGCGCGACCAAACTCACCTCCACCTTTATGGTTCCTGACAGAAGAAGAGCCCCGAAGATTATCAGTGAGGAGCCAATTACGAACAGGAATATGGCCAGTGCAATCGCCTTGTAGGGGACCTTGGGCGCACTTTTCTTGAACTGTTTGTTGGGCAGAAATCAGACGTTTAAGAGAAACTGTAGCTTGCCTCAACTTTTGTCAATACGTTACAGTCATAACAAACATTTGCATCGCTTCGAACCAAAGTTAGCCGCGGCTAACACCAGACAAACACTAAACAGAAAAATGGTTTAAGCAGACTTGTTCTTTCGGCACGCAGAAACTGGCAGCCGGTGTAATGCATCCGGTTTACAGACGAGAAGGACTCTCACCTGTAAGTCTATGTAGCCGTCGTCATCAGCAGCGAGCCGCGAATACTTGACCTTGTTGTTGGACGTTCCAGCACCCAACATGTTCCCTCTGGCCGCCTTCATTCGGAAGCTGTTTGGACGGAGACAGAGAGGACGTCATTCACAAAATCGCCACGTTAATCTCTGATTTCTGTGACCTGCGCTCATGTCACGGAAAAACTCTTCAACATCCACTTCCCCCGTAGGAAGCCGTTCATTAGTAAGATGAGGAGTTTGCTGCACGCCGGCTGACTGGTTTTGTGTCGCCTCTGATCTTTCTGTTCCTCAACAAAACGCGTTTGTTTATCTATCCAAAAACCTGCTGAAACAGAACCGATGTAGTTCACGGTGCCAGCCAGCGGCGCCGTTGGCACAGTACACACACGGAAAAAGAAACAAGAAGAGTACCACTGATCTGCCCCCCAAAGGGACTGAGAGAAGTGTGAGGAGAGCTTCAGGTGCTGTGGATTTGGCAAAAATAGGAGGAACGTGTTTACGGGAGCTTTCCCGCACGTCCCTATTTTATCTGAGAAAAACATACGCGCCTCTGAAAGAGAGCAAAAGCTACAAATACGTGGAATTGTTCATTGGTATTCATCTGGGTTGGTTTAGGGAAGGGGGGGGGGGCAGAACCTTTGGGAAAATACTTTTTCACACAACAGTATGAGCCGAAGAGCTGAAGTCTTCCAAAGGATGTTCCCGACTAACTGTGGATGACGCCGAGGTCCTCGGCTGTTCAATTTCATTTGATGCTGCTGCTGCTCCAGATCTGCATGAACTCATTTAAATTGTGAAGAGGCCTGCAGGGCATCACTAAATATAGCAGATCACATCCCCGGACTGCGGACAACCAACCGGCCGACGACACGCGGCTTTCAAAGCTCCACGATCATCACACAATTTAATGAATACACGTCTGCCGCTCAGTCATGTGTGGTCGTGAGATCCTTAGAGAGGCCGCTTCAGGTCCGCTTGAAGGACATCCCGGGACCCCTGCTGGCCCTCCTGTGGTTTGCCTTCCGGCCAAACAGGTCAGTGGACGGTGCCCTCAAAGTGTGACTGGCCTACATCCTGCGGCGGGGGACATGAAGTATGCATCGATCTGGGACTGGGACTTGAGCTCTGCATCGCAGCCGTCCTCCGCTCCGAACTCACGCCCAGCCTCCGCACACCGCTTGTCACAGGCGTCCTGACGCAAGGGGAGGCAGTTTAAGGAGAAAATCACACCCAGCGTCATATCCAGTTGCCCCTTCGCCCCCACCGTGGATGCTTGCTCTCCCCCACTTTGTCCTCGACACCAACGACCGCCCCTCAGGAGACCCGTCTGTTAAACTCCTGATATTTCATACGGTAAAAAAGCGGCCGGGTGCAGTAGAACATCGGGGCGTAAATGGTTTCCTGGTGTACTACATAGATTGGTAGTATGGCTGTTGGAACACACAGTGTGTCTGCGGCAGAAACCCTAAGCTCTCGCACAAGTGGCCCGTTTTGGACCCGTTTAGGAAAAAAGTCCCCACCAAAAGGAAAGTTTTGTGCGCCAACTCAGCAGGTTCAACCTGCCTCAGGAGCTGCACATCCAATTTTACACTGCAATGATTCCGTCTGTTCTCCGCACATCCATCACGGTGCCGTTTGGATCAGCCACCAAACAGGACGGGGGGGAGGAGGGAGAGGGGAGGGGAGAGGAGGGGAGGGGGGGGGGCAGACTACAGCAAACAGTCCGCAGTGCAGAGAAGGAATCATTGGTAACAGGGGGATGCACATCCATCACTGCAGACTCTGGTCACAAGGCCTCTGGCAACATGAATAACAGTTAGCGCCTGTCCCTGAGGACAGATTCTATCATTTAAATGCACACTGTTTGTTTACATGTAGTTCTTGTTGTTGTTGTTGTTACGGTCAAATCCCGGCAATGTATAAAAGCAACCAGTTGCATCTATCAGTCCATCAAGCAGAGGAACATGAGTTTATTAAATATTCATTCATGGTCGCCCGTATATCCTATAACTCCACACACACACACACACACACACACACACACACACACACACACACACACACAGGGTTATATATCGATCATTTCTGGTTGGTGTATTTGCAAGTCCTGCATTATAATTGATTGTGTGTTTCTATGAAGCAGCAGCGTCAGACCTCCTGTGCTCTGTGACGCAGTAAAGCAGCTTTAATCTTTTAATGCATGGTACGTTTTTTGTCGGGCGCTTCTATGCTGTTTGGGGTCACTATTTTACTTCATCGGTGTGTGAATGACCGATGCATTTCCCCCACAAGCGGAACCTCACGTTAAAGTTCAGTTTTACAATCCTTAACCTAACTTAGATAGCATGTAAGCTAAGTGAAATTGTGTCAGGTTACACATTAATTACTGCCTAATACACTTCTTGCGTTAACACATCATGTAACTGAGTGTTTTGTTGAGCAGAAGGTTTAAATAAAGCTACTGACCGCCGGGTGAACCCGCTTTGTTTACCTCTGCGGTTCATAACGCTAATTAGCTGCGGCGTTAGCTTCTTAGCAGCTGCGCTGTCAAACTCCATCTGACGTAACGCGACACACCGGGACACCTTCACTTAGTCTCGTATCTTCCTCTCGGGCACCTCTTACCTTCACTCGGGGTATAATTAACGGCGCCGGTGTCGTAATCTGTGGCACAGTGCTCCTCTACGGGGCCACGTCCACTTTGTTTTTCATCAATGGGAATGTGCGTCAACTTCCTTGTTTTCGATCCCCGCGCATGCGCACAAGAGTCTTACACTGAACCCTGTCCTGAAGAAGTTCACAGACTTCATGTCCAAGTTGCTCCTGCACACCGCGGTCGATCACAGTTATCTGATAATACAACCACACAGTGTAGAAATATTCACGAGGAAGAAGTATAACTGTCCAAAATAGGCTGAATTTGCTACATGCATGGTGTCCTAGCTGGTTGTGTTTTTATTTGAGATATATTTAAGCCCACGAATCTTGTGCAGAAAAACTAAGGTAACTGAAGGATATGCATCTTCACCGTCCACTCAAATTCTTGGCTTGCAGTTATTAAAGAAACTACTGCGGGGTTTGCAAGTTCCGTCCTTCCTTTCCCATTGCACTTATCTTACCTATCTTTTTTTTGGTAATCGAATATAAGTCTATTTGCCGATTGGCTCTGCAGCTTTTTAGTTAAGAGGGAAGTAAATCGAAGTGCACATTCAGAAAGAACACCCTTCCCTTTGGGCTCTCTGCAAAATGGATTGCACATTGTGACACTCAGTCACATTATTAGGGTAATTCTTGTTCATGTTTCATGTTTTTGTTCTGAAGCTGTAAAGAGCTGTTAGAGAATACATTGTGGTACTAACACCAGATTTGGAATGAGGAATGATGAGCAATTATTGCTTCACTGCTGATCTAATCTTAACAACATTTTCCAGCATTCAATAGCGTCTAAACTAAGCAACCTGATCCAAGCACCACCGTATTAAAGCAACTACCCCACTTCAAATGAAATAACCGTATGTTACTTTTCCACAACCCTCACTATGGAAGACCAAAGAAAAGAAAAATGCTGAAATTTCAGCATTATTTTGTCTCTGAAGCAGGAGGACACCCTCACATTCACAGTGCAAGTGCAGCCTTTCAGCTGTCGTCATCCAAAGGCGGAAATGATTTGTCACATCAGTGTTACGGAGAATTAACTTGGTGCAGCAGCAATAACCATTAATTCAATTAAATGAAGCTACTAGCAAATATTCCCGTCCTTCCTGTGTACCAGAAATTTGTCTTTTCACGCCGGGATGGCTCACAGGAATTCAGTCATCAACCAAAGTATTGCACGCATTGACATTTTGACATCTGATGATAGTGCCACGTGAAAGGTAATGTGATCACCACAGTGAATCATTGTAATGGGGACACAAACGTCTGTGCAGAATAGCATCGCAGTCAGATAAGGGAGCGCGTAAGAATGAGGCTGACAGGCCTACACTTAATAATGAACATGAATAAATAAATTGTAGTTTTGGGACCACATCTTGTACCGTTGTTACGCCCTCTAGGAAAACAAATCTCTCTATAGACAAACAGAAACATTTACAGCTGGAAAAGTACTCAAAACTCTTCGTCTGCTTTGGTGCGTGTCTCTGGGACCACATTTTACTGTGTGGACACATTTACAGACTCACAAGGTGACAACATTACCAATCACACACTTTCATGGCTGGTAATAGGTTAGGCTTTATTGTAGATTATCACATCTTCTTTTGACATATTAACATTATTAAAATCCCAAACATATTGTAACGTGACGTGCACAGCATTTTGAGTAGCAGTTTTGTGCAGCGTTATGATAATAAAAGGCGTATCATAGATTCCTTTCCTACAAATGGCAGGAAACCAGGGCCCTATGCGGAGGACTGTGCTCAAACATGAACTCTCATAAATAAGACAAGGCAATACTATAATACTGTGGGTAAGTCACTTAAAAAATAACTTCTGGGAAAAGCTTCATTACAACCATCATCCATCATTACCAACAGAATGAAATACCATGTATACCCCAATGAGTTTTAAAACAAGTAAATCAATGCCAGACGTGAAAAATCTAGAGAAAAACTGTTCTTGAAACTCGTGGCTTTCCAGAGATTACACACACCCGATTAAGTATATTAAGCTATATTTAACTCTTCTTCATTATTCCTGACCCGCCAGGTGCATTTAATAAGATAGATACGATCCAATGAATAAAAGATTTTTGAGATTCAAAGTGCATCATCTATCAATTCCTTTGTGGCCCTTCAATAACACGTTAAAACCGCTGGTCATCGGAAAGTGCTTCAAAGTTTCTACTGAAGACGTACATCAAAATTGTTAGTGAGATGTGCCTGTTGCCCTGGAAAATCTTCCATGCCCTGAAGCGTCTTCTACGTTTTTTGTTCCCCATTTATGTTCAAGCCTCCATCTGCTCGCTGCAGTCATGGAGAGAAACTCCTGTGATGAACACGACGTCTTGGCAACGATTTGTTCGGTTCATCCTTTCTTGAACTGTAATAAACGATCATGTTCCATTACCCCAATTAAAAGATAAAATAGGAATATTAGTTTTGCAGTAATGGTAACGTATAACCAACGTATTCATGACTCTGACTGAGTCAGCGCCTCACCAGCCACGAAGCTGACCTCACCGTCCCGCTCAGACCTCTCACATCCAGCCCAGATGACTGGAAAGCCCAGCGGCTTTGTAAGTAAATGAAACAGAAGTGCTCATTTCAAATTCCAGTTACCCATTTCTAAGCCCATTCTATGATTAATCCCCCCCACCCCCCCGCCCCCGCCCTCTTCCACCTCCTCCCCAGACAAGTCCACTATGATCCCAGGCATCAACCAGCATCTGTGCAGCCTTGCTGCCCTGTCCGAGGAATCAAATTAGGATTGACATCTTTTCTTTGAACCTGCTCCTTTCTTGGCCCCACAAGCGGAGGAATACAGAATGTCAAACATTGATGAAC